CACGGCTCTCTATTAGCAGCACAGCACGAGTGAAGTGATGCTGCCACCCCTGTCAAGGGCCCGGCAGTAGCACTGGTTGGTATACCGGTATTGCTCTGCAAGCTGCACTGCACTGAACCCGTTCGGACAGATATGTCAAGGCAAAACCGTTCAGCTACGCATCTCTCCTCAAGCACTGCACACAAACTGACATGAATTCAGATGATCAGATCATTTCTCCGCGATTGGCTATCGGCGCCATCATCAAATGGGAAAGTCTATTGGCCTACAGGGTATACTGACTTCTCTTTGTTTACAGAAAACATGAGCATGACGATCACCCGCCATGCTGCCTACTCCAGGCATCAGTTTGTGCTCAGCGCTCCCATCACTTCTTCTCGCCAGGGAAAATGAAATTTCCCGCAACCAGCAGCGCGAAAGCTCCCCCGAGGAAGACCACGAGGAAGGGCCAGCTGGGAGGCATCATGTAGTCCTCGCACGATGTCATGTGCCCCGCCCGCCTCTCACGGCTCTTCCCAACATGCGCTTGATCAGTCCTCGGCCATGGCAGGCTGGGCCGTCAGCACCGGCAGCAGGGCACCTGCCGTGACGGCGGCAGCGCTGGCCTCGGGCGCCGCTCGTGGGGCAGGGGATGGCACGAAGGCGGGCGCGACGAAGAGAGCCGCCAGGGCAAGCAGGACCACAGGGAGGGCACTGGAGCTGCGTGCCATCTTGCCTGGACAAGGACCGACAGTCACTCGCAACAGCAAATCAAGTGCAGACACTTCGTGGGTGTTCCAAAACACTGCCTCCAACAGGTAGCTGGAACAGCTTGAGGGCAACTTCACTGAGCCTCTCGACAGACGAAAAGCAAAATTAGCCAGCAAATCTATCAGCAATAATGACTGCATCCGAATTCAGTGAACAGCGACAATAAACACATGATGAGAAGTCATAGCAGATTCTGAGCTTCTTTTCGTCGGGCTGCGTCTGGTAAGCCTCCTAAAAGCGGAGCTGTGCTGAAACTAAGCTTGTTTTAAGCAAAGCTCCTCTACCGCTCCTACAGCAGCTCATACTCAGTGCTCCCATCACTTCTTCTCTCCAGGGAAGATGAAATTTCCCGCAACCAGCAGCGCGAAAGCTCCCCCGAGGAAGACCACGAGGAAGGGCCAGCTGGGAGGCATCATGTAGTCCTCGCACGATGTCATGTGCCCCGCCCGCCTCTCCCGGCTCTTCCCAACATACGCTCGGTCAGTCCTCGGCCATGGCAGGCTGAGCCGTCAGCACCGGCAGCAGGGCACCTGCCGTGACGGCGGCAGCGCTGGCCTCGGGCGCCGCTCGTGGAGCAGGGGATGGCACGAAGGCGGGCGCGACGAAGAGAGCCGCCAGGGCCAGCAAGACCACAGGGAGGGCACTGGAGCTGCGTGCCATCTTGCCTGGACAAAGACGAGCAATCGCTCCAAGAATTAAGCTCAGCAAATGAAGCTTCATGACTTCATGCGTGCTGCAAAGCAGTGCCTCCAACGACGAGAAGCTGGAAGAGCTTGGGGGAAATTTCGCTGAGCCACTAGACGTCCAAATCGCGCATGAAGCGGGAAAACACGACACGATATCAAGCTATCGAGAAATACATGCTTGACCCGTCTACAGAAATAGCTCTGTTTCTCTCGGGCTGTGGCTGGTAGCCCTGCTAAAATTAGAGTGGCGTGCTGAGATCGGGCCGCCAGTCTCCAGGCAAAGCTCCCCCACCACTCTATACATCAGCTTGTGCTCAGTCCATCTCAGCGCTCCCATCACTTCTTCTCGCCAGGGAAAATGAAATTTCCCGCAACCAGCAGCGCGAAAGCTCCCCCGAGGAAGACCACGAGGAAGGGCCAGCTGGGAGGCATCATGTAGTCCTCGCACGATGTCATGTGCCCCGCCCGCCTCTCACGGCTCTTCCCAACATGCGCTTGGTCAGTCCTCGGCCATGGCAGGCTGAGCCGTCAGCACCGGCAGCAGGGCACCTGCCGTGACGGCGGCAGCGCTGGCCTTGCGCGGAGTCAGGATTTATTGATAGTTTGTTCTCTGCACGGTCATGCTCTGGTGTTTCTTCGTGCTGCGGTGTGGGTTTTGGAACATTATCTGATGTTCGTGACACTCGTCCTCGTCAGCATTGGATTCTTCTTGGTAGATGTTCTGTTATTTTTGTTGTGCCTACATAGGTCGAAGCTATTTAAAGGGAATCCCAGAGCAGAACCCGACTGGAGGATTTCAAGATAGGGCCATCTTCCGTACTAGCGAATAGACTTTCGAATAGGTGTCCAGATAAGATAGCCAGACTGTTTAGGGGCTAAGCTATTTAGGGGCTATGGCGCTTCCAAGAAAGCGTCAAATCCTGCATGCCAAACGCAAGGCATCTGACCAGCCCCGGACACTGAAGCCAAGTCACCTTTCCTCGAGTTAAAGAGCTACGGACAGTTGTGAGTATGCGAACACCAGGATACCTAGATACACTAAATACTACATGGTTTGATTCAAGTGATACTCAAACAATATATAAACAACTGTCGCTTCCTAAGGGCATATAGAAAAGGTATCATTGTATCATATATTGATTGAGCCTAATTGAGGGTGTTGGCGTTGCATCTGAGAATGTAGTCGTCAACATGATACCGGATCTCGTGTTATGGTAAGGCGCGCTATCAGATATTGGGCTTTCATGCTGCAAGTTGATGACGGTTTTCTATATTTAGGGAGAAATTGGTTTGGGCAATCCTTAGCATGATTGTTTGTGTTTGGTATGCGTGGCCCGGTGTAGTAGTAAACGGATTGTAGGCAGTACTTAGTATCCGGGATTGAAGGCAGGACTTCGTATGATGGCCTCTGTTTGGATTGCTTGGGGTCGTACTAACCGCTTTCCAGGCACAACAGCTGTTCCTTTCTCCCGGTAACATTCTTTCTCTCGTTCTTTGCTTCTGTCGTTCTTTCTTTTCCGTGCATCTTCATCTTCTTATTCCCCTCCCGCGCCCGCAACCCAAACAAAGGTAGCAAAATCCAAACTTGACAGGAAACACTGAGAACATAAACGTTGAAAAACAAAATACCCTACCTGCCTCGGGCGCTGCTCGTGGGGCAGGGGATGGCACGAAGGCGGGCGCGACGAAGAGAGCCGCCAGGGCCAGCAGGACCACCGGGAGGGCACTGGAGCTGCGTGCCATCTTGCCTGGACAAGGACCGACAGTCACTCGCAGCAGCAATTCAAGTGCAGACACTTCGCGGGTGTCCCAAAACACTGCCTCCAACAGGTAGCTCGAACAGCTGAGGGCAACTTCACTGAGCCACTAGCTGTGCAACGCCACGCATATTAAGAGAAAGACATGTCAATAATTGCGATTGTAACATGTCAAGAACCACTGGATCCGTTTGCAAGTGACAGCGACTGGCAAAAACAGCGTCGCTTGTTTCTCTGGGCTGCTTCTAGCCCGTCCTAAAAAGTAGAGCGGCTTGCCGAGACTGAGCCCATCTTGAGCAAAGCTCCCCCACCACTCTATACATCAGCTTGTGCTCAGTCCATCTCAGTGCTCCCATCACTTCTTCTCGCCAGGGAAGATGAAATTTCCCGCAACCAGCAGCGCGAAAGCTCCCCCGAGGAAGACCACGAGGAAGGGCCAGCTGGGAGGCATCATGTAGTCCTCGCAGGATGTCATGTGCCCCGCCCGCCTCTCACGGCTCTTCCCAACATGCGCTTGGTCAGTCCTCGGCCATGGCAGGCTGAGCCGTCAGCACCGGCAGCAGGGCACCTGCCGTGACGGCGGCAGCGCTGGCCTCGGGCGCCGCTCGTGGGGCAGGGGATGGCACGAAGGCGGGCGCGACGAAGAGAGCCGCCAGGGCCAGCAGGACCACCGGGAGGGCACTGGAGCTGCGCGCCATAATTGCCTGAGCAAGGCCGAATGAGTCTCAAATCCTCTGCTTCGCGGGCCAGTCGCTCACCCCACACCTCTGAGGAGCCTGCCACGAAGCCAAGACTGATGATGGCAAGCAAGCCTACAAAATCCGACTGGGGCGAGCCAACCGCACCGTGGACCGCGGGCGCGCAGTGTCAGGCTGTTGTCTTCCCTTCACTGCCAGGCTAAGTGTTCGCAAACGCTCAGCAGTGGCAAGTCTTAAGCTTTCCGAGAGGGCTCTGCGGACTGGCTCAAACTGCAAGCCTCGAATGCATCGAGTTGCCTTTAGCAACTCCCTCGCATTGCAAACCTGCTGCCTGCGACACCGTTGAAAATATGAGGGTGGCCCTTAGGCCGGGGACACCTGCCGGCCTTGCTCGAGGCGCCAGGTCCCGGTGTGAAATGATCAGAAGAATCATCTGAGACAGGACTGTCAGTTGCAAGGTGGCAGGAAAGGTCAAGAATTCGGGCATCCTCGCTTCATCTCGTTTCACGTGCTTTCCTTGCCGCCAGAGCACGAAGTCGCGAAGCCAAGTTGCAATTAAAATACAGCGCCCTTCTCGAACCGTTATATCGGTCGGAAGGGGCCATCGACCAACCCACGTTCGCACTATCACACACCCCGGTCCCTCCCAAATGTCCACATGCCTAGCGCCAACAACATCCCTCCAAAGCAATGGCAAGTACAGTATCTGAGTGGGTCGAAGCCGGTGCTGCTCTTTTGCGTCCTGCCTGCACACAGCTCGCTTTCCACATGCACTTGCTGCCGGGCTATGCACACCTTGCAACCTCGCACCCCGATCGGAGGATTAGCATGAACGGGACGTTCACACCTGCTGGGCTTGCTGCTAGTGTGATCATATCGCTACTTGTCATCAGAAGGTTACCTGACTTGTGGGATGTCTGGGGATTGAGGTTTGGGATCTTTGTCTTTGTCTCAGTCTCTATCTCTGCTGTGTACAGATGCACAAGAGGCACGTGCCTCACTTTTGCTTGCTTCTCCACATTCTTGAGGTTTGAAGATCAAAGGTTTGGAGCAGCGTGGCTAACCCGGGCACTGAATTCCTCTCTGTCTGCCTGCAATGGCAGGCAACGTCAACTTGGCATTGTCTGCCCGTAGCCACACATGGGAGCACAAGCCTCAATGGAGCAGGAAAGGCCATGTAACCGCGAGTTTGTGAGTACTCGATTTAGGACCGTGGCCTTGCATCGTGTGCTTTTCCCTCTGAGACCGCCTTAGGCCGAGACCGCCGTGCGGCCGGCAAAACCTGCAGGGAGCCCGGCATGCACAACGGTACAGCCTCTTGGGCTTCGGGCTCTAAATCCGAGTCAAGTAAACTAAACGACGAGGAACGGCAGAACGGCCGACGGCAGAGAAACCCTCGATGCAAAACCACTCATCCACAACTGCCAGTACTGTACTCACTGCAACGCCTCCAGTCCTGCGATTTCTGTACAGAGACCCGGACATTCCGTGATCTGCACGCCGTCCGCTGCATCGCATTGCTGCGCCTTCTCAACTCATACTGACGCAGGAGACCATGGTCACCCTTCTCGGCTAAATGGCTGTCGACTCACGGCCTCAAGGCAACGCCATCGCACTGCCTTGGGGTCGGCTGTGGGGACCTGGATTGCGAAAACGCTGTGCCCCGAGACCTCTCCTCAGTCCCCCCTCTTCTGTCAGAATCCTGAGGCCGAGGACGGCCCTCTTCGCACTCTCTGCCTGTTGCACTGCGGCCACGCGCGAAGCCAGGCGCTCATACCTGGGAGCTGACTGCCAGAATCAGAGAGCGAGAAAGGAGACGGCCGAGAGTTTGAGACGGATAGATGTACGGTAGAAGGCGGAGGGCTGCATACGAGTTTTTCACAGCCAATGCTGTGTGCAGATATTTTCGCGTGCTGGCCTACATGCTGGTCTTTGTACATGCATGGACACCAAACCAGAAACCGAACACACATGCACAGACTGGAAGAGGTGTATAATTATCCATACACGTATATGCAATGCAGAATATAGTGTACATATGTATGTATGTACGTATGTATATATATATATGCACACGACTTTAAAGATACCGATGCAGGTACCGATGCAGCCTATGCTGTACGCATGCATGCAGGTGTGTGGTTGGCCACACGGCGGGTGAGGCACGTCTTGTCCCATCGCCTCCAGGCCTGCACAAGTGCTGCACCGAAACGCAGACGAGTTCGAAGCCGTTAGACTTCTCATCACTGGACCGGGGCGTTGAAGGGACATGAAAAACGGCATGCGCGTCATCGAAGATCGTCTTGTTTGCAGGGTGAGGGCTCTGTGCTGTTTGCAGCGATCCTCCCAGCTTCTGCACCACAGCAAGGCTCGTGTCCAAGACAAAGTGCGGAAAGACAACCAGAATGCTCTTGCAGCCCATTGCGGCTCTCGAGTGGCTCAAGCAAGGTCTTAAAGATCACGACAACACCAACCCCTCCAGCCGCCTGGAGGTCGCTCTCGCTGGGATGAGAGCGCCAGCATGTCAGCTCCTAATGCTTCTGCTTCGGCAGCTGTGACTTTGGACTCGGTACGACGGCTCAAAGCGAGCAGCTTGCATCTACACGCTACAAGAAGTGACGGGAACGGTCTTCCAAAAGCTTCTGCATGAAACACGGCATCTCCCCAGCTGCATCAAGCGGCCCCAACCACGGACTCTAGGAGGCCGGAGACCAAGAGCCTGCATCTCTGAACGCAGTGGGAGCATGTGGGAGCACATCAACTTTGGACCTGCTCTGTCGAAGGTAGCGATCAGAGGCGTCGAATCGGCTCAAGTGACTCGGCCGACAGCCGTGGGAGGAGTTCGTGGCGAGGGGGGAAAACCGAATGTCCCTGCCTGGACGAGATCAGACAACGAGTCAGTCCTGACACTCGCAGCGAAGCAAGCGAACCCCATTCGCACGCAGCCAGAGGAAGGGGATGGGGAGGTGGTAACGGTTTATGGTGGATGGTGAGGAATCGGGAGCTCAAGAGACAACACTTTCAGCTTCTATACCGACCAAGCATGTGGGACTTTGAAAGCTGCTTCTCCTACCCGAAGGAAGACTCAAGACTAGTGACACTACTGCGAAAGCGCCTCACCTCTGTCCTAGGTCCTACGGAAGTGCAGTGTACCGTGAACCTTGGAGGCCTCAGAACCACTGAACAAGACCTTAACCTTGCCGGCGCCACCGCCCTTCTCCCGGAAATCCGGCGAGCGCAAGGCCTGCGGATGACGCGCCGCAGTCAGGTCATCATCAAAGGCATCAACAGTTACGCATGGCACATCCCATGCAACCGGAAGGACGTGCACCTGCACCAGCAAGCCACCGTCCACATCCGACGTGAAAGTACCAGGTTTGCCTCGACGACCTCGCAGGTGCGTTCAGAATCAAAGTGCTCCGAAGACTCCAAAGCCTACAACCAGCCACATAAAACCCTCAAAACATCGCAACCAGGCGGCCGATCGAGTCGAGGAATGCCTCGTCAGACTGCTCGTGCCTCAAATCGTCGCAGCCCGCGGGGGCGGCGGGGGCGGGGGGAAGAGATTCGGGAGTTAGGTTTACAATAATGGGCTACTGCATCGGCTCTACAGCTTGACGTGAGGATTGGGGTGCAGAGCTCAGGTGTAGTGCCTTCTACAATACAGCCTATTACACCATCCTCGGGGTTGAAGTACAAACAATCGCATCTGGTTTCGCTGAGTAGGTGGACACTTGTCCAGTTCGCAAGCCTGTTCCAACAAGTCAGCGTTCTTGAAGTGACGGCTTGTCGAAAAGCGGAAAAGGAGCACGTCAAGATGGGAGCACTGCAACCTTATTCAAAACCGCGCATCCCCAAGGTCAAGACAGGATGGCCAGTTCGGTGATCCGGCGCAGCAGCTCCTCGCAGGGCGGTAAGCTGCTGCAACCTGCCCAGCTGCCCAGTCGACAGCTTTTCGTGGAGGCGTCCTCGGCGGTCATGAGCACTTCCTCCGCCGTACTCAGCATGTCCCGCTCACCTGCACCAGCAAGAACAGATCATTTGAGGTCACGCAGTTACCTTCCCTGCAGATACACACAGCTGGTCCCAAGGAGATGCAGTGCCTATGTTTCGATTGTAAAAGACGAACTCGAAGTAACTCTCGTTGCAAGCCCGAAGCATTCTGACTTAAGGCTCCTGGCACCAATTGGGAATTTGCACGCATCTTGGCTCTGCACCGTTTGGGGTCACGATACCTGCCCCTGAAACAAACCGAAGCTGCATTCCCGGCCGTGTCTGGCGTAACCATCAAGGCAGTCTCGAAGCATCTCCTCACAAAGCCGGAACTCCCACAGCCTGCAGGCTGTGAACTTAGCCGTTCTCACGGCGTTGTTTCCTGTTCCGCTTGCAAGCACTGGTGCTACTACTGCCATTCAAAGACGATGACTACAACTTGTACTTGTAGAACAAGCGCCAGCAGTACAAACAAGAGTAAGGCGTTTGCTGTTCAAGGGAGAACTTGTAAGTGGAAGCTTTCGTCTCCTGGACGACATCTCAGATGACACTTCTGATTCTGATTCTGATGGGATCGGTCTCCCCGCCCAACTAGCAAAGCTCTCGCAGGTGGCACTGGCACAAATTACTTGGCATCGAAGCAGCCGGCTACGTTTAAGAGTGTCGTCAAGTCGACTCCGAAACTTCCCCTGCAAAGCGAAACATCAAAAAGGCTCTTGCCTGTCTACACGGTCAAGGTCTTCCAACTGCTTGGATCGGCGCTCTTCGAGCGTCCGTGCCTCATGCACGGAGATGCAGACCACGCGCATGAGTGTTTTTGTGTGTGTTTGTCTGTCTGAGTGTGTGCGCACGGCTCTCCTCAAGGGGGCCTCTCTTTGCGCAGGGTACATACATTGCACATGCGAATTTGAAGCCAAATGAAGATGTCATATCCGGGGTCCGACCGACTAAGCGATTTGGCAACCCTCCGTATGCGCAAGGTTTCGCAATGCGGTGGGGTTCGGACTTCCTCGCATTGCGGTCCAAGAAAAGCTTCCATTTCATCTTCATCGCATGGGGGTTGCTGGGCTCGGCGCCTCTCCTAACTTGACATGTCAGACCACGACAGCGGGCACTTCCGGACAGTGCGTTTCTTCTTCGCCACGGGCATTGATTGCAATTTACGGTTGCTCCTTCCTGCAAGAAGGCACCTCGTGTATGAGAGAGAGAGAGAGAGAGAGAGAGAGAGAGAGAGAGAGAGAGAGGGAGGGAGAGGGAGAGAGAGAGAGAGAGAGAGAGAGAGAGATAAAAAAAAAAACAAGAGGGTGCGTCGGAATACGGGCCCGTGTTTTTCGAGTAAAACAGCTGTTTTTTTGTATTTCACAATGTAATCTGAAATTCTATCTTGAAAGTTGCCAACCCAACCTTACTAATCTTTTTGGCTGCCAAACCCAGCCAGCCGTACAAAGACATTGGGTTACCCAGAGAATGTGAAGATAGGATTTGTTGGACTGCTTCCTGAACACCTCGAATCTAAACAGGATGGAGTTGATGGCGAACCTGACAACTTTGCAGTAATCACACTACTCTATATCTGAACCCGACAGCCTATACAGCAACTCGCAAAACTTCAAGAAACATAAGTGGTGAAGGAATCCCAAATCTGAAGCATAGCACTTGGCCTGACAGCCGATGTTGCACCCTTACCCGAAGGGTCCACCTAAATATATGATATGTGCCTGGTTCTTTATATGTTAACTTGATAACCAAAGCATATGCTATTTGGGCCCTGGGATAAATCCTAACCTTGACAAGGAGATTCTCTGAAACCTACAGCCTCGTCGCGACATGACCTGAAAGATTGGAGGGGTAGCAAGTCGCTAAGCCTAGCACTCGGTTCCCGAAAACAGCAGGTCATGGTCAGTTAAATCCCTGAGATAAAAGAGTCGTTTAAGTACAAAATGTTTGGGGGAAAGAGCCCCAAACCTTAGTCGGGTACGATGGCTGGCAAACCCAAAATCGGAAAGGAGATAATAGTTGATGACCTCCGAAACCGAAAAAAGATTACTAAACATACAATATCTGATCAAAGGTGATGGTGGGAAAATTTGCAACTTGATGCCTTTGAAGAAGATGATGAATGGCAAACCTTAAATGCTGAGAGGGGTCACTGGGTAATGCAATTTCCAACCCTAATTAGTATGATAGAATACGTGACAGGCATAAGACTCTTGAAAGAAATAGTGAGTAACCTAACACAAGCCAGGCAAATCTTTAACTTTGAACCAGGCGGCGGGGTCTTGGAACCCTTGGCCCTCGTAGGAAACGATTGGTTGCACCCGAATATCTCTGAGCCAGCGACATGCCAATCTTCTTAAGAAGAAATAATGGACGACAAGCAAAATAATGGAATATATTGGTGCCTGGCCAACCTTAAGCCATAAAACCTGCTCCTCCCCCACCACCACCACCACCACCACAAAAAAGTAGGGTTGGTTCCTCAAGCCACAAGCCTCGAAACAGTGTCAACAAACAGTCGCTACCACGGAGGCACCGGGATATCAAAGTGCAAGTTCATGGCAGTGATAATGTGCGGCAAACATTGGGTTTGCCAACCCACATGTCCCTGTGGCACTATTGTTGCCAGCCGTTGAGGTGTTCGGGGTTTGCCAATTCTTGTATAGAAACATTAGTACAAAGAGACTACATGGCTTGTGGCGCATGGTGGAGGCCATGAGGGTATCTTCTTTCATGGTTTGGATCTTCCTTCATGATTTGGGGCTTGCCGAAAAGCATCTCCTATTAGACTTCGGGGGCTTCATCTTATCTGCATGCTGGGAATTTCTTTTCTATCATCTTACTGGCCATCATCTCCGTTTTAAATTCAATATACATTGGTCCACCAACATCCCCTCTTATGGCTTGACATTTGCCAACCCACGTTTTGTCGACGGGTGGGCGGCTTGCGAGATGTCATCTTTGTTTGGCGGGTGTGTGGGCGCCAGCCAATTTCTCATGTCAAGTTTCGGGGTCATGTTAGGACTTGGCTTTGTCAACCAACATCCATGGTTAGAGTGATGGGGTATTTTCACGTTTCGAAGTATGACATATGGTAACTAGCCGTTATTTCCTTTTAACTGTTATTTTGCGACACAGCATGTCACTTTTAAGGCTCGGGCCGTGCCAACCCATATTTCGTGGTTTGCTAACCAATATCTCTGTTTGGGGGTTTGATGCTTCCGAAAACACAGTCTTCTTTAAAGGTTGAGGCTTGCCAAACAGTAGGTTCAGTGGCATGGATGTTGTCAATCTACATGTCGGTGTATATCGCTTTCCTCGTACCACCCTTAAAGGTATTGTGGGGACTGCCAGCTACATCGCCTTGTTGGGACTGAGGTTTGTCAATCAACCAACATTTCTTTTTAAGGTTCGGGGTTTCCAACCCATATTTTAAACAAAGCTTTCGGCTGTATAGACAAACATATGCTTTAGGTACTGGGGGATCTACCAGCCAACATCGCCTTCTAGGATATGGGGGTTGTTGAGCAACCTACATGTTTTTGGGAGGATTTGGGATTGCCAACCCACCATCTCTTCTGATTCACAATTCCTCAAACAACGTCTAATGTAGTATTTGGGGTGTCCCAATCGACATCTCCTTCCACAGTGAAACTGATTAAACAGCAAGTTTATCAGAAAGCTTGGGGTTTGCTAAATAATCTTCAGGTTCTGTATTTGGTTTTGCCCAACATCTTCCTGTAGTTTGTCTGGGTTTGCCTGACAACATGTCCGTGTACTGATGGGGGTCCTCATCCCCTTCAGTGTTCAGAGTTTGTCAAGTCTTTTCATTAATATTGGGGCGAAGGTGTCAAAATAATTTATGATTTGGATTGCTTGGTGGAGTGCGAAGGCCTGCTCATTACGTTTTTGGGGTGGGTTCCCCCTCCCCTCCCCGCACCGCACCCGAAGGCCTCAGGGGTGGTGCTCAGCCGCCTCCCCCAGACCCATGCGGGGGGCCGGGGGGGGGGGGGGGGGAGGGGGGGGGGGGGGCGGCAAAAAAAATAAAAATAAAAAAAAAAAATAATATATATATTATATATAAAAAAAAAAAAATATATATATATATATATATATATATTTTTTTTTTTGCGTCCCCCCCCCCCCCCCCCCCCCCGCGGCCCCGCGGTGCACGCATACGACGCCAGCCGTCCCACGTCCCCCTGCTGTGGTTTGTTTTCTATATTAATCTGTGAATATGAATTGCCTCCACTTGAATATTTTTGCCAATCAGTTATTTATTGGTACCTACCTTTTCATTGAATACAATGTACTTATAATCACGTTACGATACAGCTTTTTAGCATTTACAGAACATAAAAGCCTAAACATAACTATATACAAACGCAGGCCCGTATTTTGACGCGTTCTGAAAAACAAATGCACTCACGCAGCCACGTACACATAACTGCACGCTTCAATCACACGGTTATGTATGTGTAGAACGACATGTGCATGCGTTTATGCTGCGTACATCTGCGTACCTTTAGACTTTAGATGATTAGATCGCAAGACAGCGGGCGTCGCCTACAGTAATGTCGTTTCTGGCCAGCACTGGGCTCCAAACGAGCTGGAATGGTCCGGCACCAAGTGGGTTGATGACCAAATCCTTAGAGGAGTCTGGCTTCTGAGCTCTTAGTGGGTATAATGAAGTGCATGTCCCCCTTGGGACTTCAAGCCTGCTCTTCCGGTCGCAGCCTGGCCAGACTTCTTTTTTCATGACACGCGTCCGCCTGTTCCGGCCGTTGCGTGCTGTCCACATGAGCAAGCCGAGAGTACGTTGACTATGCCTGCAGCATGTTGCTTGCACCTGCTCCAGGGTGCCTGCGAGCGACAACCTGGAGCCTGGGGCCCTGAGTCCTCAGCATGAGGCTGGCAAGCCATTTGGCATCGCTAGCCGTCATGCCAACGGTCCAACTACGAGAGTTCCGCAGGGCTGCGCCAGAAATGGGAGTGGAGATCAGATGTTCCCACGCAAGTGCCCTGGTATTAGAGCCTAGCGGAACAGAAAGCTAAAGTTGTGAATGATCATTCTCATGATCGGCTGGCACTCTAGGAACTGGATGTGCGCCGCACGTCCGATGAAGGTATCCTGAGCATGGCGGTTCCGCAGCACGTTATTGCTCGCATCGCTCGCATCCCTGCAACCAAGACACGAGGTTGTTCTCCTCAGGACAAAGCCCCCAACAATCTCACACATCATACAAAACTTACAGACAGACAAGGGCTAAGGGGCCTCTTGAGCCGTCAGAGTACTGGGTTTCTCTCTGACCGAGGTGCCGGGATGTGGAAGTTAACGTCGAAGCGGAAGACCCTCTCGGGTTTCACCTGGAGCACTGTCACAGGAGCTGTGAGCATCGTTTCAGCGAAGAGGGATCCACGAGCCGGCAATAACTGGGCGCTGAACGTTCTTCCAAAGGTTTTGGACAATTTCCTGGTATGCCTGCTGGGAGGTGTGCATCCCCAGCATGTTGCCAATTTCGACCTTAGAGACGTCTCCACAGCTGGTAGAGCGATCAATGGCTTTGCTAGGGCCCCAGCCCGCGCAGAGTCGAAAGGCCCGTAGCTATCACTCGCACAGGAGACCAGCACAACATTCTGAAAGTACCTCGGTGTCCATGAACCGCGCAAGTGTCCCGGACCGTGCTATCTCGGACACCTACCCCGCGGAGCCCCCCCCCCCCTGCGCCCCTAAAAGATCGCGGATCTGGCGAAAGCTTGAAGCATTTGCAGCAGGGATGCTCGAAGCCAGGCGTCAGACTGAGCCTCGGCTCAAGTCGGCTCAGCCACGGAAGCCTCCCTTTTCCACTGTTGGGAGAAGCTATGCCGCTACGCTAGATCCGCTGAATAGGGCTTGGCAGCTTGTATATCATAGTCTGCCTGGGATCATCCGCATCCGCCATGGAGAGCTGCGTAAGGCATTGAGACCCACGCCAGGATTGTAGCACCTGTGGTACATGAGTGGGGGAGGGCGAGAGACAGGCATTTTCCCTAGTCACACCCGTCCTTGAGACCGAGGTGGAACAAGCTGATGTTCTTCAGGAAATAGCCTCAGGCTTTGTCAGAGAAGCCATGTTCCGGACACTTTCTCTTGCAGATGCAGAGCCCACATGCGGCGAGGAAAAGGTGATGAAGGTGAACATCTTCTCCTTGAATTCCTTGCTGTTGGCCATCGGGCCGGGGTCGCAAGTGGCATGGACAAGCAGCGCACAAACGTTGCAAAGGCAATTTCATCAGAATCTACTGTCGGTCCTGCAGGTGCGGAATTGCCGAGCGGACGATGAGGCCGCCTGCTCGAGTGGCGACACTCGACACTCTTCCATAATTTAAAGCGAAGCCAGTACTCGCCCTCTCACCGGAAACTAAACTCCTGAAACCCGAAGCCTCAAACTAAGGTCCGGGCCGATGGAGTGAGCGATGAAGCTCAGGCGGCCCAAAGCCGAGCCAGGGCACCAGTCGCAGATGAAGTTCGAGACCTGCCGCTGCGTTATTCACTCTTCCTTCGTTACGGGCGCAAAGGCTCGAGGTTTCTCTGGGGCTGAGGGCGTAGTCCCCAGGCGGGACTGCAACGCCCTTGGGGTGTTATCAGAACATTGTCAAGACCTAGCACTGGCTGCTAGGACAGCTGCTACTAGTAGGACAATGGAGCAACTGCATGTCTTGTCGCGGTGAGAACTCTGGTTTTGCAGAGGTTCAGGTAATACGGTATAAAGTTCGACCTCCTTAAGGGTTCGGTTTGGGTTGGTAGAAGCTTGGGCTTCAAGACGCTACGGGCTCTTCGGTTGGGATGAACTGATGGACTGCCGTACGAAGCCAAGCTCCAAGCCCTCACTGAGAGGTGTGTTAGCAGTTACAGGGCGCCTCCTGCGCAAGGCGGATGCCCATTTCGGAGAAGTCACCCTCCGTGTTGTCCTCCGCTCTTCTAGGGTTCAGGGTTCGGGGTCTGGGGCTCAGAAGTTCAGGGCTTAAGCGGTGGGCCCTCTTGACGACTCCTTTCATGGCAGTCCTCATTGGACTGGGAGCAGAGGAAGATGGCATCCGGATAGAGCAGGGCGATGTTGTTCTTCATCAGCCGCATGTCAAAGGAATTCCTGGCAATTTCTCTTTATCGTTTCTACAGTCGCCATTGCTGCGGGTACTGCGTTTTTGCTAGTACTACTACGGTTGCTGAACCCATCCGTCGCTCTGCTGCTAATACATTTGTAATTGTAGCATTGAGCCTGCAACTCTTGGATGTGTCGAGACAGCAAATGCTGACCTGTCCGGAGTGCTCCACATTCCTCCCCTGCGTTTTCATCAACAAGGAGCAATCATTGCGCATCCCATGCATGTTGGAGGCTCTGCTTACGAGGCTCGGAAGGACAACGCTGACCCGAACGAGATTTCTGGAAGCCATGGAGGCCAAACTGCTCTAGCACTATTCTTCCAAGGCTCCCCTGGAAGCCGTGGCAAAGCACGAAGAGGTGCACGCCACGGTACTGCTTCGGAGCCTGGGCTTGCTTGATGTGAGGTCTTTTGATGAGCCAAGACTATGGCGGACTTTACCTCATGATTCGTGCTTATGGGGCTATAGGGCATCGGGCTTGTCTCTAAGGGTTCGGAAAGGGGGAACGAACTCCAAGTCTAAACCCCGGCCTGAGGGCAATCCACAACCTCTGATGACACGGACAACAGCGAACTGTACCAAGCATGTTCAAACTGTCAGTGCTGTTGCCGCAATCATGGCTGCCTTTGTTGCTGCTGCCGTTGCTTCTCTCGCATATGCTGCTGCAGTTGCTACCGTTGCTTCTCTTGTTGCTCCCAATTGCTGGCATGGTATTGCACCATGCACTGCTCACTTATCGAAGGTGGATTTTGACCAATACCCGAAAACCCCGCACTATTGGTACTGTCGTTCCTAGGAGAACGAACATGAAACCCCGGTATTAAATGGTACACTACCGGCATCAGAGGCGTTCCAGCTCCGCCGCCTCCACCACAACCATGCACTACTGACACTGTCACAACAATCACCATCAAAACCAAAAAAAGGGTGCTGCCCACCGCATCTTACGATTACTGATTCATGATTCATTTCTGTTGTTTGTTAGTCAGCGCTTTTGGCTGTTGGCTGTTGGCGATTCGGTTGCATGATACCGCCACCGCGGCGGCCAGTGCGACGACGACGACCACGAATTACGAGCAGTAATTATCATGGTGGTGCTACCACAACCATCATGACCACGAGGCCTATTTCTACGCTCACCAGTTAAAGAGCTCCAAAACTCCATTCGGACACGGTGCCGAAGGAACGCGGGACTCCCAGATACTGGGGTGCAGTGCGTCCTTCGTTCCTTGAGTGTCCTGCAGAGAAGCGAAAGGTCTCAGCACTGACGTCGACATTCAGAAGATGCTTGGGAAGAGAACTGAATACCGAAGTCTCTATGATCTCCTGACTTGTTTCAAACAGATGGAGGGGCAGTGAAAACTCAGGCAATGGCACAAATGACTCTTGACAACCCTTCTGGCTTCCGGCACGAAATTCCCTCTTTGCCTCACCTCGGTAGTCGCCGTCGTCGTGGTAACACTACCCACTCATCATAGACACAGTAAATATGGTTGTAATTGTTCTTTTTGTGTGCAATGTCATCATCTGCACAAGAAGCGCGCTCCCAGGAGACGCAGAACTGTCAAAATCAAAACGTTAAGACCGGGTGTGAAACACAGAAACTCAGAAGGCCTTTGAATAGCCTCACTCCACTGTGACAAGCATCGCAGACTCAGAACTTCATCATAGAAGGCAAGATAGATAATAAGAACTCAACTCTACACGCACGTACATACGTACGTTATGTAAGCGAGCAGAAGAACACCGATCGCTGGTCCATGCTGGCGACCGAGCGCTGGTCGAAGAGAACTGGCCGCTGCTCAATTGGAGGAAGGAGGGTCGTATCCTCCACAGTTCCACACTCCGCAATGACTTTCAGCGCTCTGTAGCGAGGCTGTGGGCCCTCCTCGATGGAGGCGAGCTCGGGAGCCCGGGGCTTTACGGTCTTTCGCAAAGTCTCCTCGCAAGACCCAAGACACTCAGGAGGCCCGCAAGAGCCACCCAGGCATGCTGCAACTGCAACGCTTCCCTTCTGCCCCACAGATCGGCCGAGTCTCAGATGCGGTCGTGTGGGCTTCGCCTGTGCGCCGCCGATGTCCCAAGCACCCGGAGTCAAGCAAGGACCGGCCTACGGACTTGTTGTCCGGCTCGGCCAAGTTGGCGCTCATCTTCTCCCGAATGATGGAAACAGACCATCTGGAATTCCAACAATTCTGAAATGGGGAAAGCACTGGAATCGCCCGTCACTCTGCCGAGTCACTGGTCAATGATGCGCTCCTCCCACTGCGTGCGGAGCATGGAGGAAATTTCCCGGTAGCCGAAGGATAGAACATTCAGGACCTGACATCGGAGCACCAAGATCCTTCAGGCTGAGTGCTGCAGACGAGCCTGGTGCCACAGCTCCAAGATCTGGCACGACACGGAATTGAGGTCGTAAGCCAGCAACCTGCCGCAGTCTCTGAGAGGGCCTTCGCGGCCCTTGCGGTTAAACGCGCAGATCAGTGGTGATGGGCACCTGGACACTGCCTCAGGCGTCAGATTTCTGCCTGACCTCAGGTTGAAAGGAAGGGGGTTGTAGGTTTAGGGTACCAAAATATTCAAAATCAGCGACAACTCTGCGGACGAGGCACTGCTGAATTCTCTCCCGAATGCTTTCTTGCAGATCGCTCCCCTCGGTTTGCGCCGCGTGCATAGCAAGCCCCCTATTTGTGACCAAGCCTAGTGCGTTTGCTGGCTGCTGCGGGTTTTGCCTTTGGTCCTTTGCCGAGCTGCTCCAGGAGGGCACTCAAAGCCTGTCGCCGGCTTCAGCGAGCCTCAAGCCAAGCTTCAAAGATTTGTCATGTCTCCCAAGCGCACGAGCCGATGCTAAGTAAGAGTGTGCAAGGCATCTTGTGGCTGTCAGTGCAGCTCAGAAGATGATTTGCAAGGGCGGCATATTGCCAATTACCTACACAGCATCAACGAGCAAAACAGGTCGACGAGCTCCAGGCTGATTCCGGCGGAGGAGCCGTTTACCCTCGAAGCTCCTGGCCAGATCAAGTTTCGGGATTCGACGACGGGCCAAGCTGAAAGGTGTGACTTCTTGGTCTTGAACTGTGCTCAAGACATGTAGCCTTGTATCTACAACCTCCGAACAAGGCAGGCAGGGGGCACCGCTGGGCGCAGGCTGCGGCTGCATGAGTCCCTTTGGCAGACGCAGAGCCTCAGCCATGTATCTGAGGTAGGACAGAAACTTTAGAATCAACACCAGAGCTCGCTCGTGAAAAGTCCAGGCATGCCAAGAAGGCGAGAGAAGCAACAACGCGGTTGTCATTTCTCTCTCTCTCTCTCTCTCTTTCGTTCGTCAGGGTTAGGGGCAACAGGATTGTTCCCCTCGCTCTCTCTCTCTCTCTCTCTCTTCGGCTTCGGCTTCGGCTGCGAGGGTTAAGTCCGCCAGGCGGACCCGGGGTTGTTGGCCCCCCTCTCCCCACTGCGACGGTGGTAGAAAGGGCTTGTGGGGTCAAAGGTCGGAAAACGGAGACAAAGGTTGGTGTGAGCTGTGGAGTTTGCCTGGCAGGAACCCCCCCTGACCCTGAACTTTAGCCCGCATCCCGGCCTCATCACCGCGCCCCCTAAGGCTAGGTCCTAAGTTCCTGCGACAGGCAAAATCCCCCCACTTTGATCTAGAATACGGTGATCGTCCCCCAAAAACTGCAACACTCTGAGGACCGAGCAATCATGGTAATACAATACGCGAGTAAGCAAGTATGTTCGTGGGGTCGTCACCAGGACTTGTTGAGGGGTCGCCAGCTTGTGGTGTACAACAACTTAATAGTAGGAGTAGAAAAGCAAAGTTGCGAGCTGGCCCCCCTGCTGCAAAGGTTTCCTTCTAGGTTCCTGTTGAAAGGCTGAGCTAAAAAGGTCATCTCCGAAGTGGTGCCGGCAAGTCTCTGACGCAATGCCAATTTGTGCAGATGCAAGGGCATATGGCCCTGTTGGTAGTTGGTCGGAATGGCTCCAGCGGCCCGTCATGAATTAAGCTCATCATTGTAAGCTTTTAGAAAGACTGTTGAAGAAAGAGCTCCTTGACGATCTTTGGGTTCCCCTCCTGGACGATGGCAACGAGTTTGTCAGCTTGTCTTCCGGTCTCTCTTCTCGCATTGTGCCTTTGCACATATTGCTCCCACTCCTGGGCGTTGGCCGCGTCGAGGATCTCCCCCGTTATGCGGTCTGTATAGTTCCCCGTTTTCCAGTTCTTCTTGACGTTCTTCCCGATCCATCGATCCAACGGGTCTGGTTCATAGAGCAGAGCTGTCCCCTTCTCACTTTCGAAGCGGACGTAGTCGGAGTAGGGCCTTGTCTTCCCCGCCACTTCGCAAGTCCCCCCCCCCTTCGGGTTGGTAGAGGTCTTGCTCATCTGCCATGGCCCTCTGCTTCCGTATGTTGCTGGGTGCTGCCGTACTGGCAATCCCCCCAGTGGCCACGCGTTGCTTGTAGCACGAGGCGCCACTGTCGTGGCTTTTGTGGCAAAAGGGTCCTTCAAGGCATGCTCGACATGTCACCCCCATGGCCTTCAGTTTCTCCGCAAGTGCACACTGCTCCTGCCAGGTCGTCTTTGTTCTGCCTGGCTTTGCCGATGGGTCTCTTTCCATTCGGCTTCTTCCTCCTCTGGGGCCTTCTTTCCCCCCGGTTTGGATCTCGAGGAACTCGACATAGATCGTGAGGTGGTAGTAGAACGAGGTCTCCCCGTGGTCCGCAGTGCTGAAGTATGCTCCGTCCCCCTACTGGCGGGCCACCCTCCCGGAGGAGGGGCCGCGGTCAGGTTCGGGAGGATGCGCTGGCAAAGGGGCCTCTCAAGCAAGACGGCAGCGGGCGGAGACTCAAGCACCACTGGGTCAAGGCGAGGGTGGCTCCTCCGGGTAACAGCCCAGAGTAACCCCCTGCCTCTCCCCCCCGGCACAAGAGGGCGGAACAGACCCCCAAGTACAAGGTGTGGCACTCTCTCTCTCTCTCTCTCCCTCCTGGGCATGAGGGCGGGTCAACGCCCTCGGGCCTCTGGCCCCCCCGTCGTGTTGACGGGTGTGAGGGGTGACGAACGAATGATTTACACAGTCTAAGCTAAAGCCATATAGTATACGATAACGTTGACTGTGATATCTCATTCTCATCGACACATGCAACATCATGTCCTCAGTCCCCCGCAGTAGCAAACAACGAACAATATAAGGAGTACAAGAGGATCACAGAGGTCATGATGCAAAAGATCACCCCGCATCGAAAGAGGTAATTCGATTGGCTCCCTGTGCTTTCGGTGCCTTTTGGGGGTTTACGTAAGGTACACTAGATAGGAAAAGCGGTTTTAATCCCCCGATATATTTCAGGCACTGTTGACGCACTGGAGCAGCAAAGAAAGGTTCGCATTCTCCGCAGTACAAAACAGTACACGGAAACATAGACATTTCAACAAGCAACTATTCAACTTCTTCTGCAGAGTTGGCCATGCTACAGACTAAGCTTTCGGGGTTGTCAGGCGTAGCAAAACAGGCACACCCTCAACAAAGGTAACGAGCTAACAGTTTGCGCCTGTCCCCCGACTGCCACATTTGAAGGCTCTATAGGTCTCAGGTCATCAAAGGGGAAGATCTTTCTGTGAAACAAAGGCACAGCACATACTAGAGGCCTAAGGGCTAAGCATGTGTACTGCAAGTATGATCATTCCCCAGTGATGTTGATGATAGCAGGCCAGAGGATCAGAGGATTCAAGGAAAGCTTGCCAAACAAATCACCATGCCATTAGAAAAGAAGGGGCCCTGCAGGTGTGGAACACAGCACGACTTTCCCTGATCCTGAGCGGCTCTACTTCAAAGAAAGAAACTACTTGCTCTCTCACGTGTCTGGTCTGCGAGCATTTACTGAAACAACTAAATCACGGGAAAGTTCAAACACAGTTCTTATGTTCAATCCCCCGGAGTTACACCAGATCGTGGAGAGGTTTGGCTGACCGTGGAAACTAGTTACCGATCATCAGGAGGAAAGGCCTGTTCTGTTACGAAGCAAGGACACAGCACTCATCTCTCTCTCTCTCTCTGTCTCTCTCTCTCTGTTGGCCCAGCTGCTAGGGTCGCCCCACACAGGTCGTAGGTCTGCCCTTCTAGGAACCCACGCACTGCAGCCAGGTTTTGCGTGGCCTGCTGCACTGTGACCGCGTGTACGTGGAACGCCCTCAGCTCCTCGTCAAGTCGAAGGACGTCGGCCGTATGGATTCGGCCAGTCTCCCAAGTGTCTTCGCCCTCCGCCACAGTCGCCAAGCGGGACGCCACGTGCGAGTCGTTTCGCATCTCCAGCAGCCCCGCGATTCCCATGGCATCAACCCTGCTGTACACTTTGTTAACTATGTGGTGCACGCCCCTTGCTGCAGCTACTCTGGTACCTGTGTGACTGTCGAACACCCCGGGGTTGGACTCCATTGCTGTGGTGACCAAGTAAACTGTCCGGGCCAGCTGCTGCAGGATCATGTCTGTTGTGAGGTGTGTCTGCTCACGGACCCCGGCCGGGGACAGGAGGTTGGCTGCTGCTTCTCGGAACATGGAGGTGGTCCCCCGCGGTCGCTTGCTGGGGGATGCTGCTCGCTGCTGGTAGGGGCTTGGTGAGTGCGGCACCATTCTGTCTGCATGTTGAGGAGGATTACCACATGGTATGTGACTGCATGTGTGTCTTCACCTGCTGTCTCGAAAAGGAGGTCCCGCAGCATGTTGATTACCCTGTCAAGTGACGGCGTGGGGGCGACCTCTGGATGACTCCCGCGCCGCGGTCGCTCTTCGCTTCGCTTCGGTTCACGAGGGTTAGGTCCGAAGACCCGGGCCAAGGCCCCCCTCTGTCGCTCTCTCTCTCTCTCTCTCTCACTCTCACTCGGGCATAGGGACCGGTCAGGGCCCCCGGGCATCTTGCCCACCCGATGTGTTCTCAGGTTTCAGAGGCGTGAAGAACGAGCGTATCCCATCTCAAGACTAAGGTCATAAATTATACGATAACGAATCAGAGATGGGCGTACACTCTCCACGGACACATGCATGGTTGCCCAATTTCCCCGACTGCTTCAAAAGGAGCGAAGTCATTTGCAGGAAGAGCAGCTCGTAGGAAATTTGGCCCCCTCGATTACAGAATCCCCCGCTGAAAGAGCTCGTTGGGGATTCCCTTTGACGAGAACTGGCTACTCGCAGGCAATGTCACATGTAGTGTATAAGAAACATATGGCAACAGCATCGGACACCTTGGTAATACATTGGACTCTGCCCTGTTCAAAAGTAGTCTCTCTGCAATTCCCCGAAAAAAGTCGCAGCAAGGACAACACCAAAGTGGTTTAAGAAGTTGAACAACACACCATGCAACTCTTTCACGGATTTTGAAAGCTCTTGAAGGAATCTGGCTCGACGACTACAAGTCTCTTGACAAGTTAGGATACTAGAACAAGTTAAGAAACTGCTTTGTACGTTGGTGTCGGAGCATGCCTTCATCTACCTTCACGAAGGAGAGGCACAGTGTTCAAAGATTACTGATCGGTTCGCCGGGGAACTTCCATGAGAAAACACCCAAGAAAGCAAAACAGAACAAAGTAAAAGGCTATCCTAGATCACATTATCCCGGTTCCCCCGATCAGGTTTGTGCAAGTCTTCACAGTTAGAATTATATAGCAGCAGCAGATACGACTTATGTAGCACATGCATGTACACTATCCCCGTGACAGGAGCTCAAAGGGATTTCCCCGTCGCATCTGCTTCTCGCAAAAGGAAGTTCGAACTTGTCATGGCACGTGGTGTGGCTCGAAAAAGGTAATAAGGCAACAACCCTCTAACTGCATACGGATCTGACCATACCCACCGTGGCCATGTTTGCAGCACTCATATGTCAAGCTCTTACTTTCAAGAAGCAAAGAACAACATCCTCTCTCTCTCTCTCTCTTTCTTTTCTTTCTGCCGGGCTTAGGGGTCACGTCGTGACCCTCAGGCTTTCAGCCCGCCCGTCCACCCCCTGTGGGTTTGAGTGGACGGCTTTGGGGCGCCACTGACCGTTGCACTTACTACCGAGTATGTTCCAGATTCTCGAGCTGCAACCCCCGACCCCTTACACTAAGACAACCCCAACCCGCCTCTTCCCCGCGCCCCTATGGCAGCTATCCAGAGGTTTACAGCTCGGTAACCAGAAACATCCCCTCGTGTGTGCACTAGGAGCCTTCCTCGCAACCAGGACCTAACTTTCCGTAGGAACACCATTGCACATCTGAGGCTCCCCGTGCGGCTCACTGTGGCTGTGAAAAGTATGGCACGGCAGCAATCGTCCCCTTTAAGTACATGCCCCTCCTAGGTAGTACAGAACTAGGGGGTGCCCCCTGCTGCAGCCTGCCTTGTGGTTTGTTGGGCTCTCGCGTTGGGCTTGTTCCCCAAAACAGCGGACACAGCTAAGGAGTACACCACGAAGTAGAGTTGGTTTTGCCCTTGCGAGTTCCCCCTGTGCTACGTGAAACTTGTTGGGGTCCACTCCACGGCCTCATACGAAACAGAACGGTGACCTACCACACGGCTAGTTGTGTTTATCGTGGGCCCCGAGGCTGTGCATGCTGCGGTTGGGGGAGCATGGGCAGGGCTCTCTCTCTCTCTCTCTCTCTCTCTCTCTAAGCTCTCAGTGCATGAGGCAGGAGGCAGGGGCAGCGTTCAGGCCCCCACCCCGCGCGAGTCCGCGCACCCGCAGCTCTTGGCGGAGTGGCTTCTCCCGAGGATTGTTTCCAGGGGGGCTCGGCTGTGCGAAAGGAAAGGCGAACGGAAGTGCTCCAACAACACATCCAAAGAACAACATATGTAGACTCAGGAACAGTGGGTTCAGCACTCCTCGGTTGGCAGTACTCAAGCCTACTCCCCCGAAGTCTTTTCAACGAGTGTATACTTTCTCTCTGTCTCTCTCCCCCTCCCTCTCTCTCACATACTGGTTCTCCTCCAAAGCCATCGAGCATGCAATGCCTGGGCCCCGCACACCGATCCCCAGATCTTGCGGCACGATGCTCAGCTCCGTCGCATCCACGTGGCCGAAAAGGGCCTCCGCTCCAAGACCGTGGTCACTGAACTCTCGCGAGGCTTCATGCAACGCAAGGCCAGAACAGATAACTCCTCTCCCCCGCAGTCCCGCCCTGTTCCCACGTCTCGGCTCTGACCTACGACAACAAAGTCTTGTCCGCGCCTCGCGCTGGAGGGGCGTGAAGCACCGCTCGCCTAAGCCAGCAGACATGGCCGGTTGTGCCAGGGCCCGGAAGGGCTGAGGCCACGGCAGATCTGTCTAAACCAGGTGGCTTGCTGGACATAGGAGGACGACAGGGCGCCGAGGTGTCGCCTGTCCAGGTGCTCCCGTGCCTTCCCAGCTCTTCAGGACCACATCTGAGGCCTGTAGAGCCCTTCTGCTAGCTGGAGCAATCGATTCTGCTCCATGGGCTTGGTGAGCTCCTGCTAGGAGCGAGGAATTTTTGAGGATGCTGCCCTTCATCCCCCCGCCGCCCTGGACCAAACCACGCCTCGGCAAAGAGTGCCTCGGCCAAGGAGAGTGCCGCGGGTGGAGCAGCCTGGACTTGGCGCTCGGCTCGGTTGAACGAAAGAGCGCAGGCCGTTGGGATGATTCATGATGACCCTAGACCCTGGACCCTTTATATCCCACTGCAGAAAGAGATCCCAAGCTGGCCTGCCAACTCGCTGGTGGCCGCTCCTGCAGATCTGACCAAGGGGAAGAAGCAGTTACACAATCACCTGGCTGGCTCATGAGAGAAAAATGTGTGCACAATATGGTTGATGTGTCTATGTACAATATATAGAATCAAGCAGATATCAGATAGCAGAGATCAGAACAGAATGGAACTGAATAGAAGAGAACAGAACAGAATAGAACAGAAGGGAAGAGAAGAGAACCGAACAGAACATCATAGAACTGAATTGAATAGAGAATAGAAAGTTGCTCAGCCTGGCCGAGCCTAGCCTTGCACAGCATATCAGATGTAGTATGGCATGGCAGGCACGGAGCGGACTGGAATGCAACGGGACGGGATGGATGCATCACGTTTACGCTTTATCGTGGGAATTATGCATACATACCAAAACCTACATGTACCTACCTACCTACGCACGTGCGTGCATACATGCCCGAACGAGTCCTGGTCATGCTCTTTGGACCCGTCCGCGGATGAAGAATGCAGAGAATGCCTCACGACCTCAGAGGTTGGCGCCCTGCCCTCCCAAAGGAGAAGCGCTCTACAGATGCTTCATATTGAGCTGTGACTTCTCCATGAAGATTCCAGACCTCGTTGCGGGCCGAGGGCTGGGGGCACGGCTGCAGGCACGCCAACATCGCCCCCCCGGCTTTCGCCAGTTTCGCTGTCCTGCCATTCGTGCTCAACTCCGGATTTGGAGATCTGCCAGATGCTGTGTAGGACACGCAAACAACACACGGCCCTTGCATACCAGTGCTGTTTTGCATTAGGATAACAGGCTCACGAAGCAGTCTCCTCATCGAATGCTGGATGCTGGGAGCAGCGTTCAATCCCAAAGGCTGCTTCACCGATCATGACACTTTGGGAAATGTAGCACACCATCTGCTCCCACGCTGCTTATGCAGCCGGAGAAACGTTGAAAAACCACTTTAGCGTGATCCTGGACATCTAGACGGTGAACCTTTGCCTTGTAGGCTCACTTCTTGCCGGACAAGAACATCGCCGCCTGGAGCCTCGCAGCTGCCTTCTTCACCTCAAGGTACCAAACTCTCGCTTCTGCCACCCGAGAAAGACAGCGACATGTCACAACCTGGCCTTCTGTGTGGCCTCGAGCTTGTCGGTCTTGGACTCTGCCTTCTCCATCAGCTCGGTGGCGCTCTCCATCTCTGACTTGGCCTGCGAAGTCTCAGCAATTCCATCAAGGAACCCAGGACAGGACGCCTGGGCGGCTAACACGTCGGTATTGTGCTAAAATGTTCTTGCTGACGAGGCAATCTACAGGCCTCGTTCATGTCAATGTCATCTGCGACCTGCAATCACCGCAAGAGTTCCGCGGTCGGCGTATGCGACACTGCCGTTAATTCGTCACATCATCAGCTGAACTGCGACATATTTACGCGGTCTGCCGTCCTGATGCGGCCGTTTGGGACACTTCTGCTACCGTATAAAGCCTCCATGAGATGTCACTCTGCCCGCCCGCCACACCTCGAAGTCGTTGCACAACACGGACAGCTGGTTGGAGTCCACGGAAGCGAAGCCGCCCATGACCACCACGGGCACCCACTTGCCATCCTGCGGTGCCGCGGATTTGAGACAAGCGAAAACACGGGCCTGTACGAATGGGATATGGACATATGGAGAATGTCCTGCTTGTAGCGGAGCACGCCGACATCCAGGGCAGACATCATGGGGGCGTGGTTGGCCAAGATGCCCAACTGGCCGCTGGCGCTAGGCAGGATCACCTCCGAAGCCGCCTCCTTGATGGCATCGCCCTCTGCCGACTGGACCTTGAGCCGCAGCCGATCGCCCTCAGCGACGGGCTTCTCCTCGGCTTCCCCCTCATCCTCCTCCGCCCTCATGGCCACGGAAGAGCTTCGGACGGATGGCCGCATACCCACAAAACCCAGACCCATGTTCTTGGCAAGGAGGGCGCCGGCCGCCAGGGCAATCAGCAAGGAGATGGAGGAACGAGCCATGGCTGTGTACGGCCAAGAAAATTCTGCTGGCAGCTAGAGGTCTGGAGTATCCCTTGGGCCATACGAGGCGTCAGGAGTGGCAAGCGGAAGGTTCAGTAGACAAGACTTCAGCCGGCAACGGCTCCCGGCGATGCTTGGCAGAGGTATGCAGAGGTCCTGCGCCTCCGACTCCTTTGCTCCAGCTCTGGGGGCAGGGCCCGCCACCTCCCAGACACACGAAGAGCCGATGCGAGCCGATCAAGGAGCTCCGGAAGCTCCTGCCTTGGGCTTGGTTGCTGCCATCTTCCTCAGAGCAGGGCGGACACGGAACCGGAGGTCCACCACGGCCTGCCGCACACAGCACACTTGCTTCGCGCTGGCGTGAGCGGAGGCAGATCGTGCCACGGCACCGAATGCACTGCCAAGTTCAGCAGGCAGAAGTGGCACTCGTCGAAGACGACGGGGCAGAAGTCATGCAAACCTCTCTCCTTGTGTCAGACAAGCGGTTTTGAACATGCCAGCGGTGCGCAGTGAAACGAAGTAAAGCAAGGCTCTGAAGAACCGGAAGACAATCGGTCTCGGCTTGGGCCGCGGCCACTCCTCGGAGTCGCAGAACCTGCGTGGACACGCAGCGGAACTCTGCCGACCTCAGACGTCCCGTGAGGCCACGGCAGGCTGCGCAAAAGCGGTCTTTGGGGCCCGGCTCAACATCTGGCTGGTCGCCCAGCGGTTCGGAGGGATGCTGCGTAAGGTCCGCAAACATCAGCTCCACCTTGCAGGCCGAAGGCCGCGCTTCGCAGGCAGATGCTCGCAGATGCTCGCAGATGCTCGCAGCCCGACTCCAGAAGTTGCGGTGCGGGCACCTCGAGGAGAAGAGGATTTCGCCGCTCCAACCTGGATGGCAGAGAAGCGGACGCGCAGCAAGCCGCCGAGCCGCGGAGCCGCCGTTCCGTGCAGCTTCGGAGCTCGGAGGGGCTAAGCTCGAGCCGGAACTGGCCCACGTCGCCGAGTTCGACCTCCTCCTCGCAGTAGCGGATCAGGAAGCTCCTCGTGGAGAAGGTGTACCTCAGACACGCTTGGCTTCTGGAAAGCCGTAATACATCCTGCTGTGCCAGACCCGGTTTTCACCCAAAGCCTACAAAGACTTATGGGAATTGGAAGCCGAGCCATCCCTCAAACATAACACAGGTAGAGGCCCAGCACACTCAGCCGGCTACCAAAAGAGGCCTTGAAGTCCTCGGCCCCTTCCTCATGCCCTCACACCAGATTCCGAAACCAGAAGCTCTGAAGCTCTGTCTCGGCACATTTCTTCGTTGACGTGGGCCGGGATCCTTGGCTTCCGGGTACGGAGAAGGGCTTCGAGCTCACGGGTCCTGGCTTCAGTTTCGATGTGTGCCTTAAACTGTCTTTTCTTGTGCTGTCTGCGCAATTTTCAGAAGGCCTGACGGGTCAACACAAGGGCCTGAAGTGACGAGAAAACAGCGAATGTGCAACTGTTGGTTGTCCAATGTCTCTGTGCACAACCTGCAGCTGTAGACGAAAGCACCGCAAGGTCTTCGAATGCCAATCCCCAACAAGCCTTGTGGTCTTTTCGGCTATGGCGTTCCCTCCGCTTGAGGGAAGCGGGAACGTTGCAGATTCAACAGAGCTGAGCAAAGATTTCATAGATTCCGTATGATTCCGTGATCTGAGATCTCTGAGAGGTTTGGCTCTCGAATGCTCTCGCCGAGCGGCAAGTTGTGGTGGTCCACCCGAGGCTTTCCCTTGGGCGGCTCCATGGCCATGGAAGGGCCCTGCAAGCGAATGCGAGGAGTGGCTGCGAAAGCGAAGCACCCGCCACGGACGTGGCCCTGCCTTGAGGTAGCTGTAGGGAAAAGCCAAGGCCCGGCCCTCATCGTCTCGATAGATGCGGGTCTTCAAGTGATAAAGGCCTCCAGTAAATCAAGACACTTCGATGCGCTTTCGAGCTGAGAAACAACTTCCCGCCTTGGTGGAACAGGTCGACGTTCCGAAAGCTCTCAAACTGGAGAGCCAGCTCGACGACGGTACACAGCGACATCGCCGTTTTGAGCCGCGGAGATGAGGGAGGCTGAGGCTTCAAGGGGCTCGAGATGCATTTTGGCGCTTTCGAGGCTAAGGTGCAGTATGGTCTAGTATGGTATGTAGTGCCCCTTGTAGTGTATATACTGTTATAGCGTATGCATGGCTTATATGCTGTATAGAGTGCTCTTGTGATGCGCGGGGGCGGCCTAGCCCTGAGCTCTCGGAGCTCTCGGAGCTCAGGGCTCACCAGTCGACCGCGGCATTCCCGGCAGCCCGGGCTCCCAGAGAGCGGAGCAGAGCCGGGTTGAGGCTTTTCAGTTGGGGTTGAGGCCGTTTAGGCTTAGGGCTGCTTTGGGGCTTCAAATCCTTCTCCGGTCTCCCGATTTCTAGCACAACTAGGCCTGGAAGCAGCTTTTTGGAGGTTGAAGGTCCGGTCGCAGCTATGAGGCTTGCCTGGATCACTGGCTGGGCTCTGCTCCATGGATGGCAGTGAGTCGTTGAAGCTGAATGGCAGTCGGCATGCAACAAGCAACCACTGAAAACGAAGACATGTACCACTTCTTGTCCTGAACTCAGAGATTGAGTAGCTTTCATGTCTCCATAGTGCTCATCTGGGAATTCAGTTTGCCTTTACAAGGCAAGTTGTACAGACGCGTTAACCACGGCCATTTCGATCCGAATCGTAATACTCGCTTGAACATCAGAAGACTGAAGAGTTGTTGTCACAAACTGCGTCGGTACAAGAGAGAGCTCCGTGCCTTTCGCATTTATGTGTGTGCTTCATAAACGCACAGAGAGGTAGATACAAAGTTAGAGCGATGGACGGGTGCGTGCTGGCGCCAAGGCTGTCTAGAACAGTTTTAGAACATGCCGACCGGGGCAAGATTGATGCATACGGGCAAAAGGCACATGCTTTGTCCTACTGATACGTTTTGCAAAACGGTCATATCAAGACGGTGCATTGCAACGCCAGACGACCTGAAGGCGGCTCTTCTGTCCAGACCCTGAGAAGCATTCTGGGGAATGGGCCGCCATATCCAGAACCTGCTTTTTTACCTGCCGGCGAGGTGTGCGGCGGTTTGGAGCTTGGGCTTCGGTTCTGTTCTCAAGCGTGCCTGCCGTCTTTGTCTTTATGGCCCAAGGGCCAAGGACCCCTTACGGGGCGCCCTGCCCCCGCCGGTTGGGGTTTCTTTCGCAAGAGTAAAGGGCCTCTCTTTTGTTTCGCCAGGGCTGTAGTAAGAGGGATTTCCCCTTTCGCTCCCGCAGCTCTACTGCGCCCAAGCGTGTTGCGGGTGCCAGGAGTGAAGAACAAACAAGGCAAATCGCTCTTCAAAGTTGCGACTGCAGGAACTAGGCAAACAAAAGACACAACCAGTCGCAGGAGCTGCATGAAGTTGTCAATCAGCAATCATGCTCTATGAGTACCCGATGCACTAACGAAAAGTTCCAAGCAGGGCTAAAACAAAAACATGAAGCAACCGCACAAACTCCAAGAAGACATGACCAGAAACCATCTTTGCCACAGGAGTGTCAAGGAGTACTCTTCAACATGAAGTTTGTGCGGACGCCATGCTATATGATATGCATCAGGTACACAACTTGAGCCTGCGATGACAAGGGCACGATGCTAGCAGATGGTTGGCACAAGACTCGCATCAACGATACATATTGACGGCTTTTGCGGCAAGAATGACCCCCCTCTGCAAGTTACATTGTAATTGTGCCATGCTGCAAGACGGTATGCGAACCAACTCTCGCTCTCTCTCTCTCTCTCTCTCTCTCTCTGTTGTCCGAGCGCGTTGCTCGTGCACCACTCCATCATACTCCATCTATCTACATCTTTCTGTTGTTTCAGCGTTCCCATTGCTATGCTACTCCAATGCCATTGCACTCCCCATATTCCAGCGGTCTGCTGGTCAAACCGTCCAGCATGCAGGCCGTTAGAGTAGCTCTACCATGCAGTCACCCGGCTGACCTCGCTGGCCAAGCTGGCTGCCAGGTGCTCTGGCAGTTCCAACCTGCATCTGTTCCACTGGACGAGACACGATGTGATGAGCTGTGCGAAATGGGGGGGTCTATGCTGCCGTATGTACGACAGAAACGAGCCGCAGCATACAATCGGCAACATGCTTCTTAACACGGCATGCGGACACTACTTCAGGCACCCAAGCGCCTGCACCCGCCGCAAGAATTGAGGATCTTGGGCTGCCCGGGCTGCACTCGCACCCGGCGCATGCCCTGGCAAGCAAAGCTTCGCAGAGAATCCGGGCGCCAACAAAAATCGCTCTCAAATGTTCGATGCTGCGCTTCCTTCAGCAATTAAGTACTAATGAAGCATAGGGCGGACACCCCAGCAATGGGACCTCAATCGGATGCAACTGAGACAGATGGGAGCAGAGTAGCGACACGACTGGATCATACTGTGCCGTGCATGTCCTGCGCAGGAAGGCTCTCAGAGCTTCACGCACGTGTGTTTGCCCCACATCTTGTGTTGAAAGGTTGATAAGAAGCAACCTCAGCAAGGAGAGCCGTCACCCGGCCTTGCTCGACTCCTGCTCGCTGGAGACATGTCCGTCGCCTTGCTCCAGGTCAGCCTCGTGGATAGGAGCTTTGGCAGCTAGTCCCCGCACTGCCTACTGCAGTGCCTGCGGCTCTAAGAGGTCGCGCCTGCGGCGGCTGGGGCTTGGTGCTCGCCCGTCCCTCGGGGCCGCTTTCTTGGCGTCGCGAGCCCGGAGACCTCGAGTTTTCGGAGGCTTAGGGCGATGCCCACAACCGCCGATAACCGCCGGGTGCAAGGAAAAGAGATGGAACGAGACAGCGAAAGGGAGAGCCCTGAGGCAGCTGGGCCACGCAAACAGCTTGCCAGACATGCGAACACCCTGAAAAGCCCCGAGAAAATACTAGGCTTCCCACTTGTACAGGCGCACCTCGGATGCGCTTGCAACGCGTCCAGGCCGCAAAGCAGCTAGAGCTACTGGGGTCAGGATTCTAGCACGTCGTCCGTCTTCCACCAGATGAACCGGCCGACGGAGTCACGGATCCTTGCATGCAAGCGACCGACTCCACCAAGTGGGGACGTCGGCCCCGGGCGGAAGGCCTCATGCACGAGGCCAAGAGGATAAGGGGATGGGGTAGCCGAATGCAGAGGGGATGTTTGCGCAACAGCGATTGCTGCAACACAAGTACCGGTCATTCAGCAGCCGAGCAAAGTCGTTAGTCAACTCAGGCCGCGGCGTTGTAGCCTCAGTGTCAACTCGCATATCCCAACTCACCCAACCTAACAAAAGAACAAAGACGATGCATGACGGTAGTACCAGTACCGCATCACGAGCAACTGTCTGTCTGGTGTGTTCCCTGACAGAGACTGTGGTGGCAAAACCGAAGACAAGCCACGTCTGCAGTCTCCATGTCGCACAAACCGGTGGTGCCATGATCAGGAATTCATGTGCTGCTTTCTGCTGTTGTAAGAAGCCTGGAGATATAAGGTTGTTTCCGAAGCTCTAACCAGGCCAATCTGCGCCGCTGTGCTAGCTGCTGTTGCTCGACAAATGAAGCACGTTCGTGGGGAAAGAACACTAAGGCGGACACGACACACCAACCCATGCTGCTCGTCTTGCACGGGGCACATGATTCAAGATCAGAGGCAAATCGAAGAGAGGCTGACCGTTGCGCGACCCAGTCGCCGAGGCATGATCAATACCCACGCTGTCTTTTGATGCGCGAATATGTACATGTGACCGGACATTGCAATCATCCCTGCGCGCAGCTATTCACAGCGAAACCACATCAAGTGGGGCATGCAGAAAGCCGATGGTCTAAGACGTAAAGCTCAGGTTGCTGATCTGCTTGGCTGAGGACCGCTTGTCCACCTGCCGAGGCGGTGATCAAGCTCGGAAGTTTCGCGCGGGAGACAGACTTGCAGGCAAAGGACCCTCTTTCCGGTATAGCCCTTCACATGGGAATCGTTGGAGTGATCGATGAAGGGGTTCACGCAATCGCGATCATCCTTCAGGGAGAAGCTTGCCTGAACAGTGCAAGATGCCAGAAACATGCAGTGCTTGACCTAGGATTCGAGTGCAAAGCCTGGCCCATCTTCATCTTGCGAGCATTCTTTTTCCGGATGCTCTCGCCATCCTGTACCTTGACAGCTCTTGGATCCGGGAATCAGGAAGTCATGCTTCGAGAGCATTCAGAAAATCGTGATTTCCAGGTGGATGTCAGACTGTATCGGATGTGTGTATTTATACCTCGGTGTGTGTAACCGCAGGAAAGGAATGACAGGGAGAAGAAAACATGTTGGTAGTCAAGCAGGTGCAGGAAGGTGCGGTTGCATCCGGATATATGTATGTATGTATGTATGTATGCATATGTATGTATGTACGCATGTAAGTATGTCTGTACGTCTTTATGTACGTCTGTCTGTCTCTCCGTCCGTCTGTCGGTCTGTCTATCTGTCTGTGTGTCTGCATCTGTGTCTGTGTCTGTCTCCGTCTCTGCCTCTGGCTCTGTCTCTTGCTTGCTTGCTTGCTTGCGAAGGGGTCTGGGTGCACGCACCCCGGCCCGAAGGCCAACCTTCCATGGCTCGCGTCTGTGCGGCTTCGAGGCCCCTTTCGGGGTGGGTGTCTCTGTCTCTCTGACTCTGTCTCTCTGTCCCTGTCTCTCCGTCTATGTCTCTCTGTCTCTGTCTTGTGTCCGTCTCTGTGTCTGTCTGTATCTCCGTCTCTGTGTCTGTCTGTCTGTCTCCGTCCGTCTGTCCGTCTGTCCGTCTGTCCGTCTGTCCGTCCGTCCGTCGGTCTGTCTGTCCGTCCGTATGTGTATATACATACATACATATATATATATATATATGTATACACATATATCTCTGTCCGTGTGTGTGTGTGTGAAATGAAGTATGCTTGCTGGGACAAGTCCGACTTCCGACGAAACTCTTGAGATGGTATGAGTCTCGAAGCGCAAAGGCCTGCTGTAAACCCTACCCATTGCTGACACTACCCTCGGAGATTCTAAATCCTAAGCTTTCAAAGGTTACAATGTGACAGTATGCGCTGCTTCAAATCCCCAAACCCCGTCTCCTCTGTGCGAATCATCACGTGGCCGCTGGGCTGCCGACTCCGGCTCTCTTCCGATCCCTAACCTTTGCTTTCTCCAAAGCCTCCAACTGATCCTCGCTCGGGGCTTCGGCTTCAGCTCGCGCCAGTAGCTGCTACATGTGGGGCACGCGAGCCTCTACACCTATGTATATGTATATATATATATATATACATAGAGAGAGAGAGAGAAAGAGATAGAGAGTCAGAGAGAAAAAAAAATACATGTATACATGTGTGTATATATATATATATACATATACATATACATACACGCATATGTGCGATGTGCGCGTTTTCATCAGTTTGTTTACTCGTGCATGTACTTCAATTATTTGCTCTTGGATAAACGTAAACAGATGTCTTTGCGAAAGCGTCGCACTGCAGGCCCGGGTCTTGCAGCTTGTTGTTTCTCCGCTAGTTAGTTCGATAGTTGGTTTGTGTGATGAGTGCGGCGCGCGGGGGTGCAAGCGTGTGGGCGGGCGGGCGGGCGGGCGGGCGGGTGGGTGGCAGGCGTGGGTGGGTGGCATGGGTGGGTGTGGGTGGGTGGGTGTGGGTGGGTGGGTGGGTGTGGGTGGGTGTGGGTGGGTGGGGGTGGGTGTGCGGGTGGGTGGCGGGTGGCGGTGGGGGGGGCGGGTGGGCGGGTGGCGGGTGGCGGGTGGCGGGTGGCGGGTGGCGGGTGCCGGGTGCCGGGTGCCGGGTGCAGGGTGGCGGGTGGCGGGTGGCGGGTGGGGGGTGGCGGGTGGCGGGTGGCGGGTGGCGGGTGGCGGGTGGCGGGTGGCGGGTGGCGGGTGGCGGGTGGTGGGTGGTGGGGGTGGGGGTGGGGTGGTGGGTGGGGTGGGTGGGAGGGTAAATTAGTTCGCTCGTTCGACCTTCCTCCGGTGCTCCACTTGCGGTGTAGACCCCTCCTGTCCCTGTGGCAGAATGGTACAGATTTGCATCTAACTGGTTGGAGCAAGGTTCCTTGGTCCGGCATGTCCGGCCCGCGATTCCGTGGCAATCATGGGTCCCGCTGGGGAATATGCTGTTGAACATAGATGGATGTTAATGCTCAGCCATCCTGCCTTTAACTGCAGCCCTGGAACAATCACGTAGCCCGAGTAGTGTCCCCTAAATGGATAGAGCAAGAAAGACGGACAGAAAGAAGCTGTCACCATGATGCATTTCCCTGTGCTTTGTACTCTCCCTGAGTATGGTGGGGTCCGTGCCACTGCGTGCGTTCCGGAAGCTAGCCCTTCAAGCGGATACTAAAGCACATAGTGTGTGAAGTCCTTCAATGCCTCTACGGAGGTGACGTAAACCAGGGCATCAGGGTTCCATCCTCCCCTGACACAGCCGTGGAATGCTGATCCAACGTGCCAGACTTCGAAGCCAGTCCACCATGGCCCCCCTTCCACCGTGCCAACCTCAACCTTGGAGATTTCGAATTGATGTGCTTCACCTCTCATGAACTTCATAAGCGCCTCCGATACCCCAGCGCATGTCCTGCATCGTCTTCAGGCCAGCTTCTCCCACAGGCCTCGCAACCGCGGCATACGGGAAAGATCAGCACTTTCATCGGCAAGCATGAGTCGAAGGGTCATGGACTGTCTTGCGCCTGGCTATGTGCATGCTTCCATCCATCCATCCCTCCATCCGTCCGTCCATCCATCCATCCATCATCCGTCCGTCCCTCCAGCCAGCCAGCCATACATGCATGCATTCAGACAGGCACATACATACATACATGCATACATACATACGCATACGAACACACCTTACATACACACCCACCCACTCACCCGCCTATACCTACCTACCCATCCACGAAAACACCCACCCACCTCACATCTGCATAATGCAGACATGTATCTTCTTCTGAGACTGCAGCTCCATTCTGGCTTTGATGTTATTGAGAATGCTAAGCTGCTAAACTCAGTTATCCTGACAAGAGTCATGACATATGGATTCTTAATCATAGGTCAATGTCCTATAACATCAGACAGTAGGTTTCAGTCACTAGATTTAGATGCTACAAACAGACATGTCTTTTGTCTACGTATGCTTGTTTGGTGTATGTTTATGTGACTTATGTGCATACTACATACAAATGAGATCGTGTGCGAGCATGCTATGTCGGCGAGGACACATCTTCCTGGGTCTACGATATGACTGGGTGCCGGGCTCAGGGGGCCGGGTCATAACGGCCTCGCGTGTCACGGAGGCTTCCGTCATCGGCGCCCGAGCAGTCGGCGGCGGCGCCGCCTCTACGCCGGCCTAGGCGCTCCGTCTGACGCTCTTACACTACCTCGTTGATGTTGAAAGAGAAAGACCGCCACGACAGTGCACACCGTCAAAGTGACTGTGCAGATCGCTGCAAGAACTCCCCGCACCAGCCAGCTGGGGATGCTGCGCGTTTGTACATGTCTGACTCGCTCAGAGACTGGTTGTCCTGGTACCCTGCACCTTGACAGCAGAAGGTCTGCTCTCTGACAGTCTTCGAGAGACTCGAATAGCCACGGACATTCAACACACACCTTCTTTTCGGCATTCACATGTCGGTCTCTGTACACGACTCACGCGCAGATGCCAAGTGCAAATGTGAAGGAACTCTCGTGGCAGCGACTTGCCATCCAGGGCCGGCAAACCTGCTTGCCACCCAATGCACCACTCCAGCAAGGGGAACTCTATAGGTCTGCCAAGTTGTCCTTTGGACACGAAGTTGCAGACAACCCATTGCAGGCGGGATATCGAAAAAGCAACCAAGTTCAGGAGTCCTCACACAATACCGGACCGCTGCTCTCAGCAGACTAGGTCTAGGTCTTCACTTGCCGAGATTTCTCTCGTCATCTCAGCTGGAAAGTCCCTCAGGAGATGGCGTTCTCGATACAAGACGCTGCAACCTGGGTGCCCACAGCGCGACGAAGTCTACGCTTGCCAAGCCTCAGCCCCTCAGCCGTTAGCACCTGGGGTGGACAACTTCGCTCGGACAGAATGTCCATAGAATTGCACGAATGACAGCTAAAGCATTAAGCATGCCCCCTTTGGGACGGACTCCGCCAAGAATGCCAAGACCAAGCTACCTGCGCTGGCGACGCATCCGCTCCTTGCGCAGGAACTGTTGTACTCATCGCCAGCCCCCCACGCCCCAGACTTTAGACAAACTGCTACATCTGGCTTTTCATCCCACTGGGAACCAGTGGGTCTTGCGTGGCAACTTGCTCTTGTGTATACGTAGCATATGTGAGTAGTCCACGCTAGGTTGCTATTCTCACATAATACACTCGTCTTGAGCTGCACACACAAGTGGGGGCCATCGATGACTGCATGCTTGCTCGTCAGGTTACATCTGCCGAAGAAGCTACACCCCCAGTTCACTCCTTCTTGCTGGGGCGTCTGGCGGGTGCCGCATGGCCTGCAAACCGCTGCATCAGACTTTGTAGCAAATCTCGACATGGCACTACACTTCAGCTTCGCCTGGGACATGGCAGAAATTGCACTCGTCGGCAGAGCGGCAAATACCGCGGGGTGCGAAGCTGCAGGGCCTGCACATCCTTGGAGCTCGTCTGCGCCACAACGTATGTATCGTATGATCTTACTCCACGGTCATTGATACTGAGTTCGCATGTCTGCTTCTGCTTCGGAGTACGATGCCATGTTTGGCCAGGTGGCATGAGATTGTGGGCAGCCCAGGTTGCTGCCTCCTGCCAGAGAGAAGAAAGCCAACACGATCGAAAGCCAGAAATCCAACAGACGAAGGCTCCAACCCCATCGCTTTTCGTGTTGGGCCGAAGCTTGGATCGAAGCTTTACTGCTTGCGGATCCTCCAGCTGCGGGAGCTGGGTCTACTCTACATGGTCCCATGGATCGAATCCCTACGATGTACTAACAGGATCCTACATGTCACGGCCAGTGCCTGCCATGGGCAGTGATCGAGGAGCCTGGGCTCTTGGACATCGGCTCGGACTTTAAGGGCTGCAGCTTGGTTGAAGACTGGGCATGGGTTCATGCTGCATCGTCATGCCGTCATTCCCGGGCCACCGAACCTGCTGCATCTGATGTGCCGAACAGATTTCTGCTCATGAACATGAAAGTCACCGAGTTCAGGAATGTTCACTCCTATGCCATATTCCCGCGCTTGTAGGTGTTACACCGCAACTGACAGATTCCATCCATGCTGACCTCAACTCGCCTTCCGACCACCTGAGCCTGCGACACTGCCCAAAACCCAGCAATATCAAACGTGATGTGCCTTTCCAGAACAGCAGCCGCAGACTTTGGCTCGTGACGCCAGGTTTCATTGTTATTCAGTAACATGCAGCATGTCTTAGGCATGTTCGGGGTCTTGATCGGGCTCATCGTGTTTCGTTCCTGTCTTTTGATTGCCTCTTTTTATCTTACTGTCACAAAAGCCTGCCCAACACTACCTCTGGCAAGAACTCTTCTACGCCAGCAGTGCCCCCACGAGTCCCAGAAGCTGGTTCGCGAGAATTCTGCAGCGCGGGTCCGCAACTGCGAGGAATTCGCGCAGGCTGCTTCGCCAGCTTTCCTGCGCACCTGCGTACATCCAAAGTAACCCTCAAGGAACAGGTCATGTCCGAGCAGACCCGACCGTGGCAAGACTGTGGACTCTTACTTCCCTCTGCTGCCGGGGGGCTGCACGAAAGCAGTGACAAGCATCTCTCAAACTCCTTGCTGATCCTTGTCCTTATGTGCGAGCGTTTGGCAGCAAGCTCTCTTGCAGGTGCTGATGTTGCTGCCGAGGCTCATGAAGTCATATTCTTCGGTGGCCGACAGGCCTGCCTTGAGTTGATCACTTGGCAAGTTTGAAACCCGGACGGGTGTTGAGGCATTCGAGGACACTGGGTCTTGTCGTTTTGGGAACAGTTCAGGGCAGGCAACAGAGGGTGAAATGAGAGACGGAATTCCGGCACGTACCGAAACCCCATTCCAAAGGCCCTCTCAGAACCCGAAGACAGCAGTGCGCCCGCCTTGATGAGACCGCTCTGCTCCTGCGCCACCTTGAGCCTGGGACTTCACGCGAGTTGGGATATCTGGAACGGAACAGCAATGATCCCCGATAGCGGCAGTAGCAGCGGTAAAATTCGTGGTCGCTGCAGCAGTGGGAGCTGCATCGGCAGTAGCAGAATTAGTAGAGGTGAGTAGTAGTGTCGTATAAGTAGTAGTAGCAGTAGTAGCAGTAGTAGCAGTAGTAGCAGTAGTAGCAGTAGTAGCAGTAGTAGCAGTAGTAGCAGTAGTAGCAGTAGTAGCAGTAGTAGCAGCAGTATAGTAGTAGCAGTAGTAGCAGTAGTAGCAGTAGTAGCAGTAGTAGCAGTAGTAGCAGTAGTAGCAGTAGGCAGCAGCAGTAGCAGCGGTAGTGGTAGCAGCAGAAACAGTGGTCGCAGCAGTAGCAGCAGAGGCAGCAGCAGCAGTAGTAGTAGTAGTAGTAGTAGTAGTAGTAGTAGTAGCAGTAGCAGCAGCAGTAGCAGCAGCAGTAGTAGTAGCAGCAGCAGGAGTAGTAGTCGTAGGTGTCGTAGGTGTCGTAGTAGTCGTAGTAGTCGTAGTAGTCGTAGTAGTCGTAGTAGTCGTAGTAGTCGTAGTAGTCGTAGTAGTCGTAGTAGTCGTAGTAGTAGTAGTAGTAGTAGTAGTAGTAGTGATCGTCGTCGTGGTCCTGTCGGTCGCAGTGGCAGCGCTGGTGGTGGCGTTGGTGGGTTCTTCTGCCGCTACTGATGGTCGCCGTGGTCGTGGCAACAAAAGCAGATGCGGCAGCAAAGCAGCAGCGGCAGTAGCAGCAGTGGCCGTAACAGCTGCAGCAGTAGTCACAGCAGCAGCAGCAGCAGCCCGAAGCAGCAGGAGGAGTCGTCGTCGTTAGTAGAAGTACTAGTACTCGCGGTAGTGAGCAGGATGAAACAACGATGCTGATACTGCACGCCCAAAGCCGTTGCGTGTCTCTCTTGCTCTACATTGTAAAGTCATCCTATATAACAGCAAGTCGTGAGGCTTTTGTCGGGGCCTGCTCACCGACTGACTACTCCTGATAGCAACACACCACAGGTGACAAATTCCTCATGAGGCACGAAGAAATCACGGACAAGGGTACTCGAGGATCGTCCACCTGGAAATGAAAGGTCAGTCAGTCGGTCATACGCCATGCGACAGGTAAAATGACTGGCACGATGCACGATTCCGGACATGAGGATTCTGCACAAGTCTGGTTATCTCAAGGAGGCTTTCAAGGAATCGACATGCTTTGTCCCTGACAAATGTGACTGACCCATTCTCGCCGCGGCCTCGCCACTCCATTTCACACAAATCATACATGTGGCAGGCTGCAGCGCTCCACGAATGAATGCAGAGCTGTGCAAGGAGTGGTCGTATGCAGATTGCAGAACTTTACCGACAAGGAGGAATTGTAGTTTCAAGAGCATGTCTGTAGCAGCGGGGCAACAAGCTCTGCGCAGAACTTCCGTGTTGGGCACTGTTGGGATGAAAGCGGTGGGAACTGAAACGTGATGTTGAATATTGTTGAACGATCGTTAATCGGTACGAACTGCAATCTTACGTACATGGGTCCTAACTCCCGAAGCAAAAAGAACCCTTCGGCAAAGATCCGCTGCGCCTCCAGGAATTGGGCCAGGCCTTTTACAACAACTTCGGAATCTCGCACGAGATCTTCGAGAAAGATGATCTTCCTGGTCGTCAGCCGTACGATACCGTGAGACGGACAAGCTCTCCGACAGATGCTACAGTCATCAGTCATCGGTAGTGGTGAAGGCCAAATTTCACCGGGTATCACTTTGTGTGGAGCACGCTGCTGCTCCATCATCCAGTCACGGTAGCGATCCATGACATGGCCTGCAAAGTCGGCATTAAGTCGCTGAGGGGCACGGTCGAGTGGCCGCAGCAAGGAGACAAGCCAATGCCATAGCTGCTACTGCTAGAGTCAGACCACCAGGCGCATGCGGCACGAGGAGGAACCTCCGAAGTGGCAGTCCGAGGCGAAATAGTGCTCCATTGCTTCACCTCGCCACCATACGAGCTGAACAGCATGTCAATGTCTCTCAAGCTGCTAGCTGCAAGCCTGCAAGGTCGAAGCTACACGAAGCCAAGCAGCCGAAGTCGAAGTGCTTCGGATAGAAGGCAGTATCAGCGGGCGTACTCATCCATCGCACACGATTCCAAAGATCGCGATGTCTGCGTGGCACGCACAGCATGAGCTAGGGCTATGGGCGCACACATATGCACATACACACACACACACACACACACACACACACACACACACACACACACACACGCACGCACACACACACACACACACACACACGCGCACGCACGCACGCACGCACGCACGCACGCACGCACGCACGCACGCACGCACGCACGCGCCCACGCACGCACGCATGCGAGAATGCAAAGTCTGGACATGCCTGAACAGCACATAGCGCGGATCAGCCAGGAGGACAACCACTTTGCCACCGATGGACAACTTGTTATCCTCATCATGAGGTAGCATTGCAGGCTGCACAAACGTCCAATGACCTTAGCTTCCAGAGCTGCCTGCGACGGTTAGTTGTCTGCTCGTGAGGCAAGGTGACAGGTTACATTGCCGTATATTGCCGTATTCCTGCAAAAACAGCATTGCGACAACGCAGCATTGCCGTCGAGCAGGAGAGGTTTGCGCAGGAACGAGGCCAAGAGAGACCTTTCCCTGCGGCAAGACACTCTGTCTGCATCAGCTGCGGTCGCTACCGCTAGTGCTTCCTCTACGGCTTCCGCTTGGCCTCCAGTGGAGGTATGCGCATTCCATATGGGCCAAAAGGAATCATGGTCTGCGCAACCTCAGACAGCCCGTCAGCATCCGCCTGTACTCCCAGAACTAATTGCGTCTGCTTTCTCTGAGGCCCCCGCCTCGCAGCGGTTCTCCGCGAGTTGGAACAGAGACTCCTTGCAATATCTGCAAACAGGCACACAAACGTGCACACGCGAGCACGCAGGAGTCACGCAGGCACTCCTCGAGCTGAAGGTTGTGTCCCGCCAGCTCCGGAGGCAAGCAGATTAAGGTGTCCTGGGCTCGGAGCTTGACGGTCCTGAGACGAGACCACTTAGACAAAAGAACATCGGATATGGATGGTATGGATCCGTCATGATCTGCAAGGCCGCGCCTCACGGCCTCCAGCACTTTTCGAGTCAGCGGTCTGGGAAGGAGCACACTGCCATGCTGGCGGTACTGCAATCCCTCCAGCAGGCCTGACGGCACACAACCGGCAGGCTTAACCACGCTCTCAGCGACTTTGCTGAGCCTGAATCGAAGCAGTGCAGCTTGTCATCCTGGTCTTCTGGCAGGGGTGGTATGGCTCCGCGACTCTGCCTGCAGAGGTTGCGAATCATGTATGCTGCTGCGGGCCATCACATCGGGCGAGCCTGAAAGACTCCCAATTCGTCAGCTGCCTCCCAGTGACACCCAACAGACCAACAGACTTGACCAAGTACGCGGGCCTTTTGCTTCAGATTTCGCAGTCTGTACCGCTGCTTCTGTTCAGAGCTGCATCAGAAACTTGTCGATGTTCGGCGCCTGTGTTTCCTTCAAGTCTCCGTAGGGAGAGGAGCTCTCTCAATCCTTGGCACTGGGACAGCCTCCTGACGGCGGGAGCTTTGAGCTTTGCGCTTCTGCACAACCCTCTGATGCTTCGACTCTTGAAGCTATGTCCTCTTCTAACGTTCTGGGTTGTCTGCCGTCGTGTGTACGAATCGAACTTTGTAGGTTCTCCTTTGCGCCATTGTGATCCTCCTGATCCTCATTTGCGCCTGACAACTACCGGAGACAGCTGTCGCTTGTGATGCTCCGGGCACGCCCAGCCTTCGGTTCGGACATCAACTCTAACACCCCTCCTACACTCCAAACTCCACACATCTCCACACCGACACGAGCAGGTGCACAGCGGACATGCATTGCACCGCTCACGTGCAAAGGCGTCGGGCAAGAGATGTGGACCGATGACATGTCTGGGGCTCCCCGTAAGTTCCGATCAACGTAACGCAACTGTCAGAGCTCCGCACGGCCTTTCTGCAACATCTTGCTGCGGCGGCAGCACACAACAAACCATGGCCTCGGTGACTCGGTGAACACTATCCGCTAGCCGGGCTACCGGACATGGCCTTGGGGCTCTGAAGGCTCATGCCATGCACATACTGACTGAAGAACGGTGCGCCAAGCAACTTCTCCGCGTGACCACGGAGTCTCTTCAGACTGAGCCCTCGCCAAAGGCAGCCTTGGAAATCCCTCTGAGGGCCCGGCGGCACAGTCACTGGGCCGCCGCATCAACAGGCTACGAGTAGTTTCAAGAGCCATACGCGGCGGATGATGCACTTCCAGCTGGGCAAGAAAAGGCCCCAGGGCCCATGAAGTTACCATGCGCTGGCGAGTCGATTCTCCGAGCGCGTCGCGCTGCAAACTGCCGAAATCCAGCTTTGCCTGTCGGATTCGGTGCTCGTGCCGGGTTCGCGTCCAGGCCGCTTGGGAGGTTGGACGTCCTGCCTCGGACTCGCTTCCGCTGCCTGCGGCATCTGGCTCCTCAGGACCACTGCAGCTCAACACAAGATCGGACAGGTTCACAAAAGCCTCGTCATCAATCTCATCGTCGTCTTCGTTCTCCGACAACAGTGCCAATGCGTCCATGACGAGCAAGTATGCTCGGATGCTTTGGGCTCGCTTGTAGTTTCTGACACGTCTCCAAGCTTCAACTGTCCAGCGAGGTACCTAACTGGCAACTGATACATCTTTTTTAATTAACCCACGTAAAGCAACGACCCGCCGGCCATGTCCGGCCATCTTCGACGTCTTTCCATATCAAACGTGCGGTGGCTGACGATCCATCTGTCAACTTGAGTGCATAAGTTGTACATGGCATGAGCATGGCAGAACATTCGACTTGCTTGGCAGACAGCTGCGGAGCCGTGACTTGACGAAGCAGAACTGGAAAGCTTGGAAATGCAACGAAAGGGATCGCGCTTTTAAGCGGGAGGCAGCGTCTTTGGTTAGCACTCTGGTCCACTGCTACGTAGGCCGAGCAGTCTACAAATCTCATGTATTGCGTAAACACTAGCAAAGCCTCAAGCACGATGGCGGGCTTCTGTACAGTTTCCTGAAAGCTCTGCGAGGCAGACTGTTTGCCTGTGAAACTTCAGGGTATTTTGCTTGGGGTCTAGAGACCAAACTGCTGCATGGCATCCTTGCCCGTGGCAAGATCCGCTGCAATGATTCCGAGTGCAGCAAACATGGCAAATCGTCCATTGTTCAGCTCCTTGTTCCGCATCTCCTTCATAAAGTCTCCACGAACACACGACCCTCTGTCCCCCGAGTGCAAAGGTCGGTCCTCATCATACTGGCCAAGCCCCACGGGATCACCGAAGTTTCCGGCCTTATCATCTCAGTTCGGCATCCAGCATTCCGTACAAGCTACCGGCATCTGCCTCCTTGCTGGGATCCTCTGTCCACACTGCCAGTTCCATCGCCCCTGCCCGACACACTACGTCTGGACTGGCACATGGCACTGCTATGCACTGCATACAAATGACCAGCGGAGGGATGGACGGAACGGCGGAACCTGGCCTGAGGCGAGGAAGAGGGCCACGAAGCCGTAGGTGCCCGGAGCTGTGGTCACGGCGCCCATTCCTGCTGGAACCGAGTCGAAACCGGGGAACTTCACGTAGTGCTGCACCACACCACCCAGAGCGGCCATCATCGCCACCTGAAAACTTCAGGGCTCTCTCTCTCTCTCTCTCTTGCTTGCTTGCTTGCACTCTCTCTCTCTCTCTCTCTCTCTCTCTCTTTTCCAACGCTGAGGCCAGTGCACGTCCATGCTTGATCTCGGCAGCCCGCAGGTTCTTGAAGCCTTCCTCATCGCCTCAGGTTTTGGCCATAAACACCCTGGATGCTCGTTGGATGAAAGGCTGCAAAGCCTCAGGCTAGCACCGACCTTGCTAAAACCAGCAGGATCGAAGAAGCCTAGCGGCGGCAGAGCGCCAACCTGACATGAAAGCACACGCTCCGTTCAAACACTCAAAACGGCTCTGATCAATACTCCCGGAACGGCTGCAACCAACAGCCCGGATGCACCTGCTGAGCGGGATCGAAGGGCGGAGGGGCCTTCTCTTCTGTCTCTTCGGCGCGGAGCGGGGAATCCTTGGGCTTTGTTGGGTACCCACCTGTCCTAATCTTTGCCCAGCTAAACAGCGCAATGAAGCTTTTTTTTTGACGCCGAGCATCCGTGTACAGAGCCCAGTCGCCCCAGGCGGATCCAGTCAGACCTCAACGGCGGCTTCGCGACCGACGCATGAAAGTCATTCCGGCAAAACTACAGACCCAGAACATCCAACAGGCAGAGTGTGCCGAAATGCCCGATGAGTTGCCGTCTTGAAAGAACATGCCAATGATGGCCATCATCGCAAGACGGCCGTTGGCCAACTCTGCACTAAGTTTGGTTGTCTTGGACGCAGGGTCAGACACCTTGCCGAGGAAGGTGGGGAATCCCACTCCGTAGTCGCCCGGGGTGCCATCCATGGTGGCATCCTTCATGAAACCCAGGCCGTACTTGCCGGAGAAGAAGCCTGAGCCCTCGACGAGGCCGATGAACCAGAGAATCTGCAACCAGCCAAGAACCTCACATCCAAATTATCTTCTCAAGTTGTCAACTGTAAACTCACCTAGCAACACAGTTGCGCACGACATCCCTTCCCCACCTCCTACCACTGCAAGGTATATCTCTGAGGCCTGCGCTGGCACCTTGGAGATCGCTGCCAAACCGTTGGGGACGTCAGAGAACTTCAAGCCCAAGCTTGGACTGAGGAATCCTCACAGTGACCACACTACACGATGCCTCGTACTGGCATGTCTGGCTATGTGAATGGTGCTCTGCTACAGCATCTGCAACAACTTCAATAGCACAAGCCCGCCTGGAAACTTGTAGTACTCCGGGACAATATATCCCATTGTAGCATACATGGCAACTCTGCCATGCTTAATCTCCACAGCTCTGCGCCTCTTCATCGTGGCTGCATCGGCACCCTTGCTCAGACCGAGCGGGTCCCAAAATCCCACGGGAGCCTGCACTCCAAGCCCAGTCGTGGCGACGGATGCGGACGAAGAGCTGGACGAGGAGGAGGAGGATCCCGACGATGCAGTGAAGGATCCCGCACCGGTTCCTCCACTGACGGATCCCATGCCGCCCTTGAACATGATCTCTTCCGGCGAGGCGCGGAGCGGGGAATCCTTGGGCTTTGTTGGGTACCCACCTGTCCTAATCTATACCCAGCTCAACAGCGCAATGAAGCTCTCTCCAACGCCGAGCATCCGTGTACAGAGCCCAGTCGCCCCAGGCGGATCCAGTCAGACCTCAACGGCGGCTTCGCGACCGACGCATGAAAGTCATTCCGGCAAAACTACAGACCCAGAACATCCAACAGGCAGAGTGTGCCGAAATGCCCGATGAGTTGCCGTCTTGAAAGAACATGCCAATGATGGCCATCATCGCGAGACGCCCGTTGGCCAACTCTGCACTAAGTTTGGTCGTCTTGGACGCAGGGTCAGACACCTTGCCAAGGAACGTGGGGAAACCCACTCCGTAGTCGCCCGGGGTGCCATCCATGGTGGCATCCTTCATGAAACCCAGGCCGTACTTGCCGGAGAAGAAGCCTGAGCCCTCGACGAGGCCGATGAACCACAGAATCTGCAACCAGCCAAGAACCTCACATCCAACTTATCTTCTCAAGTTGTCAACTGTAAACTCACCTAGCACCGCAGTTGCGCACGACATCCATTCCCCACCTCCTACCACTGCAAGGTATATCTCTGAGGCCTGTGCTGGCACCTTGGAGATCGCTGCCAAACCGTTGGGGACGTCAGAGAATTTCAAGCCCAAGCTTGGACTGAGGAATCCTCACAGTGACCACACTACACGATGCCTCGTACTGGCATGTCTGGCTATGTGAATGGTGCTCTGCTACAGCATCTGCAACAACTTCAATAGCACAAGCCCGCCTGGAAACTTGTAGTACTCCGGGACAATATATCCCATTGTAGCATACATGGCAACTCTGCCATGCTTAATCTCCACAGCTCTGCGCCTCTTCATCGTGGCTGCATCGGCACCCTTGCTCAGACCGAGCGGGTCCCAAAATCCCACGGGAGCCTGCACTCCAAGCCCAGTCGTGGCGACGGATGCGGACGAAGAGCTGGACGAGGAGGAGGAGGATCCCGACGATGCAGTGAAGGATCCCGCACCGGTTCCTCCACTGACGGATCCCATGCCGCCCTTGAACATGATCTCTTCCGGCGAGGCGCGGAGCGGGGAATCCTTGGGCTTTGTTGGGTACCCACCTGTCCTAATCTATACCCAGCTAAACAGCGCAATGAAGCTCTCTCCAACGCCGAGCATCCGTGTACAGAGCCCAGTCGCCCCAGGCGGATCCAGTCAGACCTCAACGGCGGCTTCGCGACCGACGCATGAAAGTCATTCCGGCAAAACTACAGACCCAGAACATCCAACAGGCAGAGTGTGCCGAAATGCCCGATGAGTTGCCGTCTTGAAAGAACATGCCAATGATGGCCATCATCGCGAGACGCCCGTTGGCCAACTCTGCACTAAGTTTGGTCGTCTTGGACGCAGGGTCAGACACCTTGCCAAGGAACGTGGGGAAACCCACTCCGTAGTCGCCCGGGGTGCCATCCATGGTGGCATCCTTCATGAAGCCCAGGCCGTACTTGCCGGAGAAGAAGCCTGAGCCCTCGACGAGGCCGATGAACCACAGAATCTGCAACCAGCCAAGAACCTCACATCCAACTTATCTTCTCAAGTTGTCAACTGTAAACTCACCTAGCAACACAATTGCGCACGACATCCATTCCCCACCTCCTACCACTGCAAGGTATATCTCTGAGGCCTGTGCTGGCACCTTGGAGATCGCTGCCAAACCGTTGGGGACGTCAGAGAACTTCAAGCCCAAGCTTGGACTGAGGAATCCTCACAGTGACCACACTACACGATGCCTCGTACTGGCATGTCTGGCTATGTGAATGGTGCTCTGCTACAGCATCTGCAACAACTTCAATAGCACAAGCCCGCCTGGAAACTTGTAGTACTCCGGGACAATATATCCCATTGTAGCATACATGGCAACTCTGCCATGCTTAATCTCCACAGCTCTGCGCCTCTTCATCGTGGCTGCATCGGCACCCTTGCTCAGACCGAGCGGGTCCCAAAATCCCACGGGAGCCTGCACTCCAAGCCCAGTCGTGGCGACGGATGCGGACGAAGAGCTGGACGAGGAGGAGGAGGATCCCGACGATGCAGTGAAGGATCCCGCACCGGTTCCTCCACTGACGGATCCCATGCCGCCCTTGAACATGATCTCTTCCGGCGAGGCGCGGAGCGGGGAATCCTTGGGCTTTGTTGGGTACCCACCTGTCCTAATCTATACCCAGCTAAACAGCGCAATGAAGCTCTCTCCAACGCCGAGCATCCGTGTACAGAGCCCAGTCGCCCCAGGCGGATCCAGTCAGACCTCAACGGCGGCTTCGCGACCGACGCATGAAAGTCATTCCGGCAAAACTACAGACCCAGAACATCCAACAGGCAGAGTGTGCCGAAATGCCCGATGAGTTGCCGTCTTGAAAGAACATGCCAATGATGGCCATCATCGCGAGACGGCCGTTGGCCAACTCTGCACTAAGTTTGGTTGTCTTGGACGCAGGGTCAGACACCTTGCCGAGGAAGGTGGGGAATCCCACTCCGTAGTCGCCCGGGGTGCCATCCATGGTGGCATCCTTCATGAAACCCAGGCCGTACTTGCCGGAGAAGAAGCCTGAGCCCTCGACGAGGCCGATGAACCACAGAATCTGCAACCAGCCAAGAACCTCACATCCAAACTATCTTCTCAAGTTGTCAACTGTAAACTCACCTAGCAACACAGTTTCGCACAACATCCCTTCCCCACCTCCTACCACTGCAAGGTATATCTCTGAGGCCTGTGCTGGCACCTTGGAGATCGCTGCCAAACCGTTGGGGACGTCAGAGAACTTCAAGCCCAAGCTTGGACTGAGGAATCCTCACAGTGACCACACTACACGATGCCTCGTACTGGCATGTCTGGCTATGTGAATGGTGCTCTGCTACAGCATCTGCAACAACTTCAATAGCACAAGCCCGCCTGGAAACTTGTAGTACTCCGGGACAATATATCCCATTGTAGCATACATGGCAACTCTGCCATGCTTAATCTCCACAGCTCTGCGCCTCTTCATCGTGGCTGCATCGGCACCCTTGCTCAGACCGAGCGGGTCCCAAAATCCCACGGGAGCCTGCACTCCAAGCCCAGTCGTGGCGACGGATGCGGACGAAGAGCTGGACGAGGAGGAGGAGGATCCCGACGATGCAGTGAAGGATCCCGCACCGGTTCCTCCACTGACGGATCCCATGCCGCCCTTGAACATGATCTCTTCCGGCGAGGCGCGGAGCGGGGAATCCTTGGGCTTTGTTGGGTACCCACCTGTCCTAATCTATACCCAGCTAAACAGCGCAATGAAGCTCTCTCCAACGCCGAGCATCCGTGTACAGAGCCCAGTCGCCCCAGGCGGATCCAGTCAGACCTCAACGGCGGCTTCGCGACCGACGCATGAAAGTCATTCCGGCAAAACTACAGACCCAGAACATCCAACAGGCAGAGTGTGCCGAACTGCCCGATGAGTTGCCGTCTTGAAAGAACATGCCAATGATGGCCATCATCGCGAGACGGCCGTTGGCCAACTCTGCACTAAGTTTGGTTGTCTTGGACGCAGGGTCAGACACCTTGCCGAGGAAGGTGGGGAATCCCACTCCGTAGTCGCCCGGGGTGCCATCCATGGTGGCATCCTTCATGAAACCCAGGCCGTACTTGCCGGAGAAGAAGCCTGAGCCCTCGACGAGGCCGATGAACCAGAGAATCTGCAACCAGCCAAGAACCTCACATCCAACTTATCTTCTCAAGTTGTCAGCTGTAAACTCACCTAGCAACACAGTTGCGCACAACATCCCTTCCCAACCCCCTACCACTGCAAGGTATATCTCTGAGGCCTGTGCTGGCACCTTGGAGATCGCTGCCAAACCGTTGGGGACGTCAGAGAACTTCAAGCCCAAGCTTGGACTGAGGAATCCTCACAGTGACCACACTACACGATGCCTCGTACTGGCATGTCTGGCTATGTGAATGGTGCTCTGCTACAGCATCTGCAACAACTTCAATAGCACAAGCCCGCCTGGAAACTTGTAGTACTCCGGGACAATATATCCCATTGTAGCATACATGGCAACTCTGCCATGCTTAATCTCCACAGCTCTGCGCCTCTTCATCGTGGCTGCATCGGCACCCTTGCTCAGACCGAGCGGGTCCCAAAATCCCACGGGAGCCTGCACTCCAAGCCCAGTCGTGGCGACGGATGCGGACGAAGAGCTGGACGAGGAGGAGGAGGATCCCGACGATGCAGTGAAGGATCCCGCACCGGTTCCTCCACTGACGGATCCCATGCCGCCCTTGAACATGATCTCTTCCGGCGAGGCGCGGAGCATGCCCTTCTTTGTCGCCTTTGCCTTCTTCATGCCTACGGCTGCCACAGCAGCGCTGACGACCATCACTCCAGAGCCCAGCATCGGAGTGGTAGAATGAGAGGCTGGAGCCTCACCTCGGCTCAAAATGCGTCCGCTTCTTAGTCGTCCCTTCTTCCAGCGACCAGCGACGCCGGGTGCCCGACTGCTGCCACGCAGCGACTGTACATGGCCCTGGCCTTGGCGACCGGCGTGCATCGCGCGCAGCGCGTGAAACGAGCACGTGACTTGCTGCCGCAAACAACGGCACATAGCTCCAAAACACATCGCAACATACTCTCGACTGGGCTTCGCGCCGGGCTGGTTTGGCAGCGCAAATGCGCTGGAAAATGACTGCAACTGCAATGCCATGGCCTGGGACCGGACACATGAAGTCACCCCAAACAGTGAACCAAGACACGGATGTCTGAGCTCCGGGCCGCTGAAAACTAGGAAGAATCTACGGTGTGGCAGCAGAAGATCTGCGGAACGGCGGCCATACCAGACTTGTCGCAAGCGCAAACAATTCATCCATGCTCTCCACCAATGACTTTGCAGTACTGACCGGTGCGGAATCTACTCTGCACCATCTTTACTTTTGCTGCAACTCAGATCGTCAACGGCTCCCCAAATTGGAACTTTGCCTTCCAGTCATGGCCCTGTTGTTGAAAATGCCGCAACAGGATTCAACAGCTACGGCAGCTACGGCTTGCTGACCCAAGACCATGGTGAAACTGATCAGGATGCAAACAAGGATTCCAAGATTCTCACAAGCCAAGAGTGGCTTCTGCTCTGCGTGCTTGCGGTGCCATGCGACATCTCCCAGGCCACATGCTGAGGGAAAAGGTGCAACAATCTGATTGGCTGCAACTCAACACTGGCCTTATCATGCTGCTGCTCTTACTGCTGCCCCTACGACAACAACAACAACTACTACTACTACTACTACCACCACTACTACTGCTACTACTTGCTGTTGCTGCATGCTGCTTGCTGCTTGCTGCTTGCTGCTTGCTGCTTGCTGCTTGCTGCTTGCTGCTTGCTGCTTGCTGCTTGCTGCTTGCTGCGTGCTGCGTGCTGCGTGCTGCGTGCTGGCTGCTACTGCTACCGCTACTGCAACTGCTACTGCTACAGCTACAGCTACTGCTACTCCTACTGCTACTGCGACTGCCACTGCTGCTACTATGGCTACTACTGCTACTGCTACTGCTGCTGCTATTGCTGCTGCTACTGCTGCTACTACTGTGGAAACTGCTACTGCTACTGCTACTGCTGCTGCTGCTGCTGCCACTGCTGCTACTATTGCTACTGCTAGTGACTGCTAGTGCTACTGCTGCTATTGCTACTGCTGCTAATATTGCTACCGCTGCTGCTGCTGCTGCTGCTGCTGCTGCTGCTGCTACTGCTACTGCAACTGCTACTGCTACAGCTACAGCTACTGCTACTCCTACTGCTACTGCTGCTGCCACTGCTGCTACTATTGCTACTGCTACTGCTACTGCTAGTGCTACTGCTACTATTGCTATTGCTACTGCTGCTGCTGCTGCTACTGCTACGGCTACGGCTACTGCTACTGCTGCTGCTACTGCTACTGCTACTGCTACTGCTACTGCTACTGCTACTGCTACTGCTACTGCTACTGCTGCTGCTGCTGCTACTGCTACTGCCACTTCTACTGCTGCTGCTACTGCTAGGGCTACGGCTACGGCTACTGCTTCTGCTGCTACTGTTGAAACTGCTACTGCTACTGCTACTGCTGCTGCTACTGCCACTGCTGCCACTATTTCTACTGCTACTGCTACTGCTACTATTGCTACTGCTGCTACTATTGCTACTATTGCTACTGCTACTGCTACTGCTACTACTACCGACGCTTGTGCAGACTGCTGGCTGAGGTCATACACTGGTGATGATGAGGGCAATGTTTGAGTGCTTAACAGCTGAGGTCGGTGCACCGTTCAGCCCTGGACCCTAAGCCTTAGACCTCGGTTGCATTAGACCGCACCCGCAAGCAATGCACCTCTTAGTTCAGTGAAACACAGAGACAGATTGCAAGTGTTCGGCCTCATCGGGGGTAGAGCCATGCGGCTTCGGATTCATGGCAAGTGAACTGTGCCCCCTTCCCAGCGATGACTGGTTCTTGGCTAATCGGACATCAACTAGCACATCGGAACAGCAACCCTACGCCCGCGAACTGTCTTTGCATCATAGTCTGACAGACAGGCAAACGAGAATGAATAAGTAGATACATATATATATATATATATATACATATAAATATATATGTATTGCATACCTACACATGTGCATACATGTACATGTTGGTAGATATAAATGCAGAAAACATATGTGAAAACATATGTATATAGATGTATGTACAATTGTGCATACACTGTATGTATGTATGTACGTATCTACGTACGTACGTATGTAAGTATGGGGACAACTATAGACATGGGTATAGAAATAGATACAGATGCAGGTATAATAGATAGAGAAACAGATATAGATGTAGTGATGTAGATGTAGATATAGACTACAGATATAAATACAGACTAGAGATGTAGCAATAGGTAAAGATGTGTATGTGCATAGATATATATTTATATATAGCATAGCAATAGAACTCATAATGATGAGCAGAATAAATAAAAGTGTCAAGATTATGCATACGTTTACAAAAACTGCGACATGCCCCACAAAAAACGAGGGCCCTCTTGCAAATGGAAAGACCCTGAACTACTCGAGCCCACCTTCTCGAGAAGAGAGACGTACATCTTTTCCCCTAGAAGAAAGCACTTGGCCGGCGGCAAGTGTTCACGAAGATCATGCCAGGTGCCAGGGCAGGCGGGCCCGTAGCTGCAGAGCCCAGATCTGCGGCTGAGACTTCTCTCGGATCTTGCAAGGAAACGATGCCATCTGCATTTGCGTCACGCAAAGCATAAGTGATGCCCGCAGCGGACCAATTGATGTAGACCGTACCTGCAGTGAGACAGCGGACAGCCAGGACCTGCACCGACGAAAAGTGCACATCAGTTCCAGGTTATGTCAAGCTCTCACACAATGGAACACTTGCTCTCTGATGTGAGGACAAACCCACGTGGTTGCAAGGCGTGGCTGTTCGAGAGACGTGTCCTTCTCTGAGATAGCTTGCTGCGTGTAGGCTGTGCTGCTGTGGCTGTTTCGAAGACAGCCAAAGGATTTGTCACGTGCTTCGAGGATTGGCAAACGGACATTGGAATGTCCAGTGTATGTGCCGTTTGAGTGTTCCGTGCACAGCGTGGAGCTTGTAATCGTAAAAACCCGTTCGTCTCATGCTGACATCTCTAGGGACTGGGAAGCCGACCATCAGCACCAATTGTTGCCGCGGAGAAGAGATCCGGGAAGCAGAGCTGTTCGAAGGTGGACCCAGCAGCGCCCCAGTGGTGCCAGGGCGGAGGTTCGAAGGTCCAGATTACTTGATTGGTGGCTGCATCCACGGCCACGACCTTGCCGGTAATGTTTGCAGGCAATGGCCAGGGCCGACCAGGCGGCTCCCCCATCCCAACAATGACTGCCGGTGACGGGTGATTGTGGATCCATCCTATGGATGGTGCATTATGGACGACCTTCGGAAACGGCCTGTTCCAGGCCAGGCTCCCGTTGTCGATACTCAGTGCCCGGAGCCCTCCAGATCCATCGGCCCTGGAATAGCCGTTGAAGACCATGTCTCCCGCGCAAGCTACGCCACCTAGGCTCTCTGCCTGCACTTCCTGCTTCCAACACTCAGACGCTGCTGTCTGCCAAGCTTCAGCAACACAAAAGAAATCAAGAGACGGTGCAATCCGTTTCCTCATTTTCCCTACCTTCCCTTCCTTGCTGCCCTCCCCCGGGTTGAGCTCCAGGAACTCGTCACAACTCGCAGGGTCCTCCGGCCCGTGCACACATCGTCAAGACCTCTAAAGGTCAATCCGTCGAAAATGGCCCTTCCGTCAGTCTCACGACCGCGCATGTCCAACGCCGAGTGACTCTCTCCGAGAAGCTCGAGCTTCAGTTTCCAATCCACTCTGCTACCCTCGCAACTCAGTTACGCAACGCATCTGCAGCCTGTTTGGGCTTTCTCAGAGACCGAACTGACCGCGCTTTTCAGAACAAACTCCAGAAAGCAGTTAGGCACCTTATCATCTCTGCCATCTGTGCAGATTTGCCTGCCGTCTTGCATGTTCTCCGGCCACATGCAACCGAGCCGTCCTATCATTTCTATTTGATTCTCTTCGGACTCCCATCTGAAGCAAAACTGCCCGGCAGCCCGAGAGAGCAGAGTGACGAGCCGAGTCTCAAGCTCTACCCTCCTTAGCTTTCCTCTCCAAGCCGCCAAGGGTGAAGGTCCCCTCGTCGAGCCCCGGGACGCGCCACATCTCAGAGCCGTCCTGCGCTGAGCCACAGGGAAACAAGAGCAACCCGTGCAAACAACCTGGGGAGGCCACAAGATTCAATGATAGACGATTGAAGTGGCAAAGAAGCACTGCACAGGTGATGCTTGAGGGAAGTTCTCCCGACCCTGTCCTCGACGCTCAGCCGATAGACACCACCAGATGTGTCGCTGAGGATGATGGACTCCTTCTGCTTCCAAAGTTTCTGGAGCAAACAGTAGCGAACTGAGCAAGACAAGTTCTATTCCGGTCTTCGGGTTTGCACGACCCCTGCGCGCACTCGCCTAGGGGAGTAGGACTCAGCCGCAATTGAGACGAGCGTTTCCCTACCGCGCAGCAAGACTTCTGGGCCTGCTTCTGAACCCCTCTTCCTCTGGACTTTAGCCCTTGACATTTGCAACAGCGAATACGACAGCGACTATGAGGATGAGAATCAAGTACGCTCAAACTGGAATGACGCTGTATCTTGTCATCCAGCTCTGCAGCCGTGACAACAAGAATCACAGCAACAGTGATAACCAACAGCAGGACGACAGCAAAAAAATGAACACGCACAGCCGAAGATGCTACTATCCCACTCCCCAAAATGGTTTTCATCTCTTGCGTGTGGTATGTTGTGGTACCAGTACTGCACAACGGCTGATTTGGCTTTGTGGGAAGATCAAGCAAGGACAACACCGGACACGCTCGCGGTATGAAACAAAACTAGCAGAAATTCATGAGAACATGTGTCGAGGTATATGTACATCGAGAGGATGTATCGAAGTTTGGATCGCTTTGAACAAACATCCTCCAACTCAAAGCTTCAACAAAGGAAACACTACCAGTACTGCAACGAGCAGCCTCGAGCCGCCCTCGGACCGCCGGAAGTGCAAAGAACCGACATATGGGTTTAGGGCCGAATAGTGAGGCTCTCTGCCGAAACGGCTTCTGAGCCTGTGTTAGAGGCCCTTGAAGGCC